TGGAGCACCACAGAAAACCAACACGCTCTTACTCTGAAGTGTGAAAAATTTGAGTTTGTAGAAAAACATGCTTAATTATATGAAAAAATATTTTAAATTCTTAGATTGTAAAGAGGTAAAATGTAGTGTGCATGCTCCAATGAAGCTCTGTCATGTAATTAATACCTGTGTACTGTATGTGTCAAGCATGTACACTGAGCAAATCCAATAATCCCTTTGTTTTCAGTCGATTTCCAAAACAAAGATACTGCGTTGTTATTTTCAGCCACTTGTCAAAACCTATAAGGATTGATTTTTAAGACTTTCAAAGTGTCACAAGCTGCTGGTGTGTATTAGGCGTGATGCGCTGTAGGTGAGGCCTGGTCCCGCTCTCCTCCTGTGACTCTCACGTCAGATCGTACATCTCGCGCTTCACTTCCTCAGGCGAGAAAGAGAAGAGAAAAAAAAAAAAAGCTCCCGAGGGTGAAACTGAAAGTGAAAGAAACAGGTTGCCTCCTCTCCAAGGTCAACCAAGCTGCCAGAGCAATGAGCCTCTTCACTCTGAGTCAACAAAGCACAACATCAGTTCCAAGCATGAATCTGTCATATCTAATGCAGCCCTATGACCCCGTCACGCACCAGACAAAAACACACAGTCGTACATAATAACACCGTGAGCTTAATGGGAGGCTTTTTGACTGAGTCATACAAGATGTCCCCGGAGACCTGTTTACTTCTGAAATTTTCCATTTTTTTTTTCTTTTTTGTTTTCTGCTCTTGTTTTTCCAGGTGTGAGTGGTCCCTGAGACACCCTTTGGTGCTGTCTGTTTGTGTTTACCCCTGCGGACAAACCCACAGCTTCATCAAGGGTGCAATGGAAAGGACAGTGTGTCATGAGGGACCGAGCAGCACGGTGCCGCATTGTTTTAGAGACCGGATGAGTCACAGAAGACAAATCAGGGTTGGTGGCATTTGAGAAGTCTCGTCCATTGCATTAGGACAGCACTGTCAAATCAACAGTGGAATTGCAACGTGTTCCCATGATGCCTGTTTTAGCGGCAGGTCAGACAAGGAATTCATTAAGGCATAATCTGACCCAGCTACCCGAGAGGCTCCACGGTTACATGTTATGAGTGTAATTTGTAGTCGAAGAAGAGTATCTCTCCCCTTCGGTCTCTGTCAACCTTCCTCACGAGAATGATGAAGTTAGAATTCTCAAAACATATTTATAGCACCTAGTACACAATGTGAGTGCAGCATCGCTGTGACTATTTCAAGTAATTTCTATATGACTCACCAAAGAAATTCAAAAGCTCATACATCATCAAAAGAGCAGACAGCAAATTCTCTTCTGCTTTAGTCATGGCTGAATTACTTTTCATCTATATCGTCATTTTTTTTTTTCTTTCTTTTTTTATTTTTGGTGAGATGAGTCCACGCTTCAATTATTTGTTAGAGTCGAAAATTCAAATGAAGAGCTTGACGTTCTGCAGATTTAAAAACTGAAAATGCGGTCAAAAAATATGTTCGACAAACCCACACGCCCTCTTACCCCCACCCCCAGCCCCAAACCCCGTGCCCCGCCCAACCCCAACCAGCACCCCCCCCACCTCTCCCTACCATCTCATTCAGGTTTTACCACATTTCAAAATAATGCTTCAGTAGGGTTCAGCTTTCTCTGAGTGGCTGCTTTTGATTCTTTTTCTCTTCTTTTTGTCTGCAGTGGGGCAGCTATAAATGCATTCATTTTGTTTTTGACTTTCAGCATACATCTCATACGTTCATCCCGCATGCGAATGAATGAAGTGCATGCAGGTGACAGGCTCCGAGCCCATAACCCCCCCCCCCCCACTTCCACCTCTGTCTCCCTTTGTGTCTCGCCCTGACCACCCTCACACACACTGCCAACGTGAGATAGCCATGTCTGTGTGTCCAGTGCAGTGTGTCATGTGTGATAATCTATGACGTATGCGTCACGTGCCAGCGGTTTTAGGGTTCCACACGAAGCTACTTATTATTGTTATCATTTTCAGGCATCATCATTATCAGCTGGAGCAGACGCGACGGGTCCCTCTGCGTCATTGTTCCCTCCAAAACCCCCTAAAGCGCTCGCCGCCAAAGCTACCCACAACGTAACCAACAAAGAAGGGAACAGAACACATCGGAAATCATTTTGGCACTCTTTCAGCGTCTCTCCCTCCATCCATCCTCTCATCCCTTTTTTTTCTTTTTTTTTCCGCCTCTCTATCAAATGTTCACTTCTTTTGTTTCATTCACTCTTTCTTCTTCCATCGCACTCTATCTTTCTGTGTGACATGCTCTGCCCTCATCTGCTCTCTCTGGCCGCCATTATCTAAACCACCCATCTCCTCATCTTTCTCTCAGTTCCCCTCTCTCATAGTCAGGAAAAATTTCACAACCTACACAGACACACACACACACATGGATAAACGCTCACCCCAACACACACACAGTGACACTGAGTGCAAATACTCTCACCCCTCCCAAAACCTCCTTCCATGCACGCACACCCACCACCCATCCACCCCCACCACCATCACTACCTTCTACTCTCTCCAAACCCCCCACCCCACCCACCCACCCACCCACCCTAATCCTAATCACACCACCACCACCGACCCCACCCAAACGCACATGCACACAAACACAAACACATATACAAATGCACTCACGTACACACACTCTGAGCGGTCGCCATTAAGAATGACGGCTCGTCATGTGCAAGCGGTGACTTGCCACTGTCATCCAGTGGAGCCCGAGAAGAACTGCAGTGTGACGTCACGGCGGACGCCAGCCCTGCTGGTTGGTGGAACATATTTACGTGTGTGTGATTCTGCGCGTGTGGTTGGGATGGAGGGGGGGGGGCCGGAGGAATACAATTTGGTGGGTGGGTGGACCCGGTGGGCCTTGCTGCATCACTGAACCAGGAAAATGAATGAGAGTCTACACGAGGTGTCACCCCCTCTCCTCTCCCATTGGCCTCGGCTAGTTTCCCCCTTCTCCTCTCTGTTGTTCTCTTCTCCGTTTGACCCCTGAGACAATGAAAACAGGTGAAATTTCAACAATTAACTGAGTGCTTGACAGTATGTTCGACGGTGTGTTGCAAGGTCGCTTGGCTGTGTTTAATGACATGAATTAGCGTAAGGAGAGACAAATGTTGATATCATAAATGATCAGAAATCCATTCAAAGTTCAGTGAAGCAGCCTGATGTGCCAGGAATTTTTCAGCGTTTGAATTTCAGCAAGAGCAAAACAGCGCCACCCAATGGGAGGTTCTCATAGCCACAACCAGAGAGAGGAACACCTAACTGAGAGGTGTTACTATGGCAGGAAGAATAAAACATCCTACATGAAAAGGTGACAGGATACAAGCATGTGTGTTGTTTTAAAGTGACAGACTCAGTGATTTCCCTCAGTGAGGGGAAAGTATGAGAAATGTAATGTCAGTTCTTCCTGTATCCCTGCAGTCATGAAAATGACTTGTTAGATTTCATCAAGAGTGTTTTTTTTTTTTATTTCTAGCAGTCAGTGTGTTGTTTCTCCCCATGATGGGAATTTCAAACATCACCTTTGGCTTTTAGTGGCCTTTTAAATAAAATCAAAACCAGATATGATGCAGGAATCAGGAGCTCACTAGCCTGTGAGTCAGCCATAGCGACGTCTTCTGGCAGCTAATGCTAGCGTGAAGCCTCAGTGTGAGAGGAGTAGTAGACCAGAAGCGTGTTCGTGTACTGATTTACAGCCACGAGCTCCCTCTCTGATTGGTTAGAAGGGTGAGGCACGCATAAAAACTTTGTAAGGGAATATCTCTGCACTGCCTGACTGTTGAATGAGTCTGTGTCACAGAAGCCTTTGAAACCCACAGAGAATTCTGCATTTTTACTCAGAACATTTAGCACCTTTCAGCTTATTATTTTTGTTTTTATGGCCCACAATGAAATTATTTTTAATGTTTTACATTAATACTTAGCTTTTAGGTATGACTAAACCAAGATATGTATAGAAAGAGAACACAAATCCACAGCAGGATCAGCCAGTGACAGAATCATTTAACCCCTTATTACATTTCTAGTAGCAAAGACAATGTGTCGTTTATCTTAATCGTTTAAGCCAAGAGCTCTACAGAGTGATAAAAAGTTAAAAAATAAAAATAAAAATGGTTTGGACATACAGTTACAGGTTGACATTATACACACACAGACACACACACTCATGCACACACGCGTGCACACAAACACACACACACACACACACACACACACACACACACACACACACATACCTAAATAAAAGCTAAACAAAACAAAATATCTGTTGGTGCAAAGCAGAAATCAGCTGACGGACTGTTCGATACTTTTGGAGCATAAACACTACATTTTCTATCGCCTGGTTTGGAATGAGCTTTTTCAATTTGAAGAAGAAGGTTGTCCTGGGACCCGAGGGATCTACATGGTTGATAAAATGGGAGAATGTGGAGTATATATTCAGGTGCCAGGCCACTTAATGCTTTATAGACCGGAAGCAAAATACAGACCACACTTTAACAGCTCAAAGAAGCTTTTCCTACTTTATTCTCTACAGGAATAAACTGTTGCCGTCATAACTTCCACCTCCCATCAATGCTCCATTAAGGTCTTGGTGAAAAAAGGTGAAAGCATTCTTGCTCATGTAGTATTTTTAACTATAGATGTGCATATTCATACAATTCAGACAAAAAACATTTTATTCTTTGGAACTTTGGTGAAAGAGCGAAGATCTGTGACGCTGCAGAGCAACTGAGAGGAAAAGCAACCAGCTTTATTTTGGCACCGTTTACAGTGCACAGCTTACTGGTGTGTCAGGAGTGGAGAGATCTGACATGTAGCAAACCCCCGGTGTACTGTATCTACCCACTCTCACGGACAGATAGCAAGGTAGGCAGACATTGCCTTGGTTATAGATTATTGTCTAGGTAATTGGTTATTGATTACTTCCAGCCTTCTTGTCTGTGTCTGAAGGGAATTGTACTGTATGAACATCATTCAGTTCTGAGAGCTGTTTTCTACCAAATCTCATTTCGGTATGGAAGATTTAGCTACAAAAAACACATGTAAGGGAGTAAATGGACAGTCCACAACAGACGAATCACCTGCTGCTGCTGCTGCTGCTGCTGCTCGCAGTGTTGACTCATGCTGCGGATCCTGCCTGAAAAGTATCAAGCTCTGGATACCTGTGGACTACAAGAATGAAACAGTTCAGTTTTTGAAACTGGCAGGACCTGTGGTAAGATTGTGTTTAGATAAACCAGTTAATAAGAGTCATTTTTCTAGAGGTACTAAGTCTGCAGCATTATTCAGAATGATTGAGTGTGACTCATTAAATACAGGCTGTTAGGACTGTATGTTTTTGAAACCAGCTATAAATTAGATTAAGTGGCATAAATTCAATGTAAGCCACTTATTACCATAACAAAAGTGAATATTTCTGAGTTGCTTTTAATTTGAAAAGTTGCTGCTTTACTTTTAACATGAGGATTGTGTTACACCAATAATTATTTTTACTTTTCTTTGCAACTGCTTTATTATAACAGTAATTAACGGTTTAATAACCAGACCAAACCAGTGGAACTAATTAGAAAAATAATTGTGTGGCCATGACATGTAGCAATAATAAATGCCTTAGAGGCATCAATAGATCAAGTATCAGACAGATACAGCTTGATATGTTGGATATCCGTCATAGCAAAGCATGGTGGTACTTAATCAGCATTTGAAGATGATCTAGAGGAAGTTCCACATTATAAAAATGAACATAATCTATATCAAAATTAATTAAATCAACTCCTAAAGGAATCTTACTTAAAGATAACCCCTAACACCCATAAATGTTTCTCTCCCATAATCTCAAATTCATAGACCTGCTTATGAATTCATATATCCAAGATATTTTTCCAAAAACATTTTCAATATTCCATAAACTTACGGTACAACATAAACTTGAAAAATAGTTAAGCAATTTGGAGAACCCAACCTGTGTCCACTTTTCACTGACTTCCATTTCATTGCACAAACCCAGAGCTTGATAGATGAGGACATTTAGTTTCCTTTTGTGCAAACCTTTTGATGCCAAAGGCTGTCAAAAAACCTACACCAGCAATCACTGGAACTATTTTCTAAAGAAGAAAAGAGAGGTAGTAAGGACGTTTAGAAATACAAAGGAGGCGCAGCAAAACCAAAGCATAACACATGTCAGCTGCCAGAGCAAATACAAAATTGTTGTTTTTTTGTTTGTTTTTTTTTACCTCAAGGCCTTTTTGAAACAATGGGGGGTTTTTTTAATTTTTTTTATGAATAACAACTGAATCAGCTACTGCCTGTTTTGCATGTTTGTTGTTGTTCATTTATGTTTTTATCGTTCCGAAAAGCAGGGAGCATGATTTTGTTTTTCAGTTCATTTCACAGCTGATGAGCTTCCTGATCGGCTTCGTCAGCATGGTGTTCTGCGGTCACCTGGGGAAAACAGAGCTGGCAGGGGTGGCGTTAGCAATAGCGGTGAGCTCTCTCGCTTGAGCTTTGTTTCTGCTTTTATTGGCATTTTGCTCTCAAGGATCACTGCTCATTCTCTTTCATAACGTTGCCTTTGAATTTGACCATTTATTTTGTTCAGACATTCATCTATCTGAGTCTATATCTGTTTTATTTTCTCTCTGTGCTCTTGTTTGAATTCTATTTAATTTCAATATAGGTAATAAATGTCACAGGTATTTCCATTGGCTGTGGTTTGGCATCAGCATGTGATACTCTCATATCTCAGGTATTATTTATTTACTTATTTATATAACCAGTTCAGTCCTGACCAGCTGCTGCTGTGTTCACAGTATACTGTTTCACATTTGTTTTCCTGTGTCAGGTTTGCCCTCTTTCTTGCACATCAGCAAGTGTTATTTTATTTCCCCGTCTTTCTGACCCCTTCTTTGCAGACTTATGGGAGTGGTAACCTAAAGCGTGTAGGGGTGATACTCCAACGGGGAGTTCTGATTCTGCTCTTAGCCTGTTTCCCCTGTTGGGCCGTCCTCATTAACACTCAGCCCATTTTGCTGGCTGTCAGGCAGAGTGCAGAGGTCGCCAGGTGAACGAATCAGTCCATCCACAGCCATACAATTGCAAAAGAAGTGACAGATGCTAAAAATACACTTACTCATGAATTAAGTTAATCAGTATGATTTTTTTTTGTTGTTGTTGTTGCAATAATTCATAATTTTCCCTTTTTTCTGTCTGCCATAAAGACTCTCCCAGCTGTATGTGAAGATCTTTATGCCAGCTCTGCCAGTGAGTTCAGCCCCCCCCCCCCGGTTTTACAAATTTTTCTTTTCTTTTTCTATCTGCACCCCTACACACTGTATTGAATGGTTGTTGTGTCGCATTATTGATCTAATTAACCTCATTCATTGGCTCGTGTTGGCTTCTGCAGGCTGCCTTCATGTACCAGCTGCAGGGGAGGTATCTTCAGAATCAGGTGCATTTAATGACTGTAAGACCACTGGTGTGAAACCAAATAACGACTGAAAGTTTGTTGGTAATGATATCATTTGGTGGGTGTGTTTAGAAAGGGAACATGTACTGTGAGACGGGAACAAACAGCAGGTGCACTGGTGTGTGTGTGTGTGTGTGTGTGTGTGTGTGTGTGTGTGTGTGTTTTTAAACAGCATGCTTTGGTTCACAGGGCATCATGTGGCCACAGGTGATATCCGGAGCCTTGGGGAATGTTTTAAATGCAATAATCAACTACATCTTCCTCAATCTCCTCGACCTGGGGATCGCGTGAGTATACACTCATAATAATGTACTCTTTAGGTGAGTCTAATTTTCAATGCTTTCAAAGCTAGATTGTAATGTTGATTATCAATCTTAACAGTCAGCTGGAGGATTTACCTGATGACTTCTTTGTATGAGTGACTTTTTTTTCCCCCCACTTCTTTTGTTGTTGTTTAAATCTCTTGACACCAATAAAGTGGATCTGCAGCTGCCAATGCCATCTCCCAATATTCCTTGGCCGTGTTCTTGTATGCGTACATCTGCGCCAGGGGCCTGCACAAAGCTACGTGGGATGGTAAATTCAGGGGATTCAATTATTGTGGGGATAACTTTTTTATTTGACAATCACTTCTTAATGATTTCTTGAAGGATTTCTGGAAAGCATTCGTTGCTAATTACCAGGAAAGTAGAGACAAAGTTTAAAGACAAGTCAGCTTAGTTAGCTTATTTCCTTTAAATAACTGTTCCATTTAGGCTCGATAACAGTAATACTTTATAATTCAATACAATTATAACCTTCATTAATGCAAGATTTGTTGCAGGACTGTTGCATTAGACTTCAGAATTGATTTATTATTGTGAACTTTCATTCTCCATATGTGTTGAGCTGTACGGCTGTAGATGTAGCATTCATGTTCAGCTGCACTCTGGGTTACTCTAGCTCAGCAGTTAATTGAAATGAACTGGACGTGCAGATAGAAAACTATCTCTGTTAATCTATAATGACGGCCAAATGATATAGTTCTTTCTAGGAAACTTTCTAGAAAATTATTAAGTACCGTTTACCGTATTGGCATAATTTAACCTCCACACTAATGAAATATTTTCTGTCCTCTGTCACTGAAATGGCAGCGTAACATTTCTCATAAATACATTTCACTGAAATCTCCTAGGGTGGTCAGGAGACTGTCTGCAGGAGTGGGGCTCTTTCCTCCGCCTGGCCATCCCCAGCATGCTGATGCACTGTCTGGAGTGGTGGCTGTATGAGATCGCAGGGTTCCTGGCAGGCGTCATCAGTGAGGTTGAGTTAGGAGCTGAGTCTATAGTTTATGAACTGGCTGCCATCGCTTACATGGTAACTCCTTTACATTACTGTTTTTTCTTGTAGTAAGGATTTCTCTCTTATTCTAAATAACTCTATGAGAGCGTTCTGCTATGTTCTGGCTTGGCCATGATGTATGTTAAAGTAAGATTTGTTTGGAATTGACCTTTAGGACTTTACTCAAGAATCGTATTAATGTTCTATATTTAGTTATGAGTTGAGTGGTTGTTTTCTTACATCATCTTGTACCACAGTTTCCTATGGGTTTCTCTGTCGCTGCCAGTGTTCGGGTTGGAAACGCTCTCGGCGCTGGGAACACAGAGCAAGCCAAACTGTCCAGCAAGGTCTCCCTCATCTGTGCATGTATGAATCAAATATGTAGCCTGACACATCTGCTCCATGGTGTCCCCAAAACAGGAGGCAGTGACCACCGTGTGGAGTTATGTTACAGAGGAGAGCTCGTTGGATCTGATTTGATTATGCCACCGAAAATCTTTCCACCGAGTCTCCTGTCCTCTCCGTCACTCCTTAATTTAAAATATCCTAGCTGATGCTTTTGTATATTGCGCCGCCATTTTTGAATAACGTGCTGTGTTTCTCACGCCTAACCCAGCCATCGTCTCGTGTGTCATTGGAGCCTGTCTTGGCGTGTCCAGGGATGTGATCGGTTACATTTTCACTACAGAGAAGTATGTGCAGATTTTGACACCTGTGTAACATTTGTAGGTTTGTGTATTCTTTGCTCAAAAACAATAACTAACAGGCTCATGTAATGCGTAATACATCATGTATTAACCTGCAAAGTGAGCTTGTGTTTTTGTTTTTCGTCATTTCCTCAGACATAGTAGATACCATTACTGCATCCAAGCAAAAATATATTTCAATCAGCTTTGCACTCACCTGTGTTTGTTTGGAAGTCCGTTTTTATATCTACGTTTGCCTTTTGCTTTTAGAGACATTATTCAAAGAGTGGCTGATGTCATGAAGATGTATGGTTTCATCCATGTCGCTGAGGCCTTTGCGGTGGGAACCACCGTCGCTGTACAAGTCACTTTATCCCACTGTTGTGCAAAATAAGCCTGACTCTGGCACAGATTTTAGATTTCTTTTTGTTTTACCTGCACAGGGTGTGACAGGAGGTATTGTCAGAGGTGCAGGGAAGCAAATGATTGGTGCTGTGTGTAACTTGGTGGGTTACTACCTCATTGGGTTCCCCATTGGAGTGTCTCTGATGTTTCCTGTCAAAATGGGCATAGTAGGTGAGGACGGATCAAATATTTATGAAATAAGTTTAGTTGAATTTTCACTCAAGTTAATGAACTGTCGTCTTTTTTATCTCTGTTGCAGGGCTGTGGTCGGGGTTTTTAATTTGTGTTTTGATACAGTCCACGTTCTTTACTGTTTTCCTGTGCAAACTAAACTGGAAGAAAGCCACTGAAGAGGTGAGTAACTCAAAGAAATAGAACTGATTCAACAGTATTGCTGATGATATCACTGTTGTAGACAATACCTACTATTGCAGCCAGGTTTTCTGTTTCTGTTTTTTTCTTTTCGTAAATACTCAAAAGAACTTAGTTGTTTTAAATATCTGAACAGGCGCTGGTAAGAGCAGGAGTCCACATTACAGAGAGGAACGACATCTTCGGGATAGAAAATAAGGGTAAACAGAAGCCACTTACATCTACATATCTTTCTGGGAACTATTGCACAACTCACGTTAACCATGCATCAAATCTCTCTCCCACAGCCCTGGACTCAGGCGAGAACCAGACCCACACAAAGACCAGTCGACCCAGTTCTTTGAGTCCAGCAGAGGGGAAGCTGGAGGCGCTCGGTGCTTCCCGGGACGTGGCTCTGTCAGTCAGGCAGCTGGTGGTACGACGTGGCCTCACTCTGCTGTTCATGGTCGTCATCCTCGCTGCAGGAGTGTTCATGAGTGAGCTGCTGGTCAGACTGCTCCAATTAGATGAGTGACCGTCGTTAGACCAACAAACATGCAGCACGAAAACGAAGCTGTGAGTCAGGGTACAAATGTGTCATGTTTAGCAGTAAACAATTTTAAAAGGGGGAAAATACTAAGTACACATGTAATGACACAACCTACAGTCAAGAGCACAATCATACCCCTTGGTTTGGGTATTAACAGCTTACCATCTTACCGCAGGAAGCAATTTGTGATGACAAATTTCCACTCCATACTCCCACTTTTACAAAATTATTTAAAAAGAAAGAAGATAACAGCTGCATTAGAGTGATACATGTTACACAAGTAAAAAAATATTCTGTAATTGCATTAAATAAGTGGAGTTATTGCTCATTTCTGAAAATTTGAAAAGTTGATGATGTGAGTTCGTTCAGATCCATTTTCATTATTCTTTTATTTCCTGTTATTACTTCGCACTGCAGGGATTGTCTTTGAAGTTAGATTTTACTGATAGCAGTTTTGGTATTTTGTGTCAGTTTTCTGGCACTTTCTTGCTTTAATCTATTCAACAGTTCAAACCCATTCACTTCTGCAGTTGTTAAATTAGTCATGTTTTGGAAAATCTAAGAAGAAGCAGGGCTTAAATGAGGCAGCCAATGACAGGCTGAACTGAAAAAAATACTGTATAGGCATGTCTCCTTTATATAGAAACATGCTGCGTAATAAGGGCTCCAGTCAAGATACTAAAAATGTATGTTTTCATCCCACAGTATATATCAGTCTGAATAGATGCCACAATTAGAAATAGGATGATTAAATGCTATATTTAGGGTACAGCGCATCTGTGGATGTGTGCTTTCATCATCAAAGACGGAAAAGCTGCTCTTTTTCTTTGGTTTATTTTTCTTTCCTTTGATCTGTGTCGCCAAATTTGATGGTAATGAAAGGTCTGTACGCTCACACTGCAACATGCTGGCTGGATGAAGACATGTCAAACTGAGCAAATCAGCCACCTGTATAGCTGCTCTGTGCAGGAGCAGATAACTAGCTAGGCCAGGCTTCACAGTTACAACGTGCTCATCAATATAGAATTCACCCTGGTTAACAGCGGACAATTAACCATGTGTAATTTTCTGAAATACACACATAGACAGTGTTTTTCTACAGATCCTGTAGAATAATTATTTTGTCCAGTCATATTTTCAGTCAGGCCTGAAGGGATTTTTTTTTTTCTTACTAGGCATATTCTGGTTTATTCATTTCGGTAGGGGTTAACTTCAAAAGAGCCTTCACCTTCGAGGAATTCCATAAAACTCTCCACTCTGGTCTGTACGCAGCCGGTGCACCCACAAGCCACCGCACTCTGCAAACCGACACCAGCGCTGGAATTGCAACACACTGGTGTTTGCGCACATAAAAACACATAACAAACTTGCATATTAATTTATCGTTATTCAACATGCAAATCAGGCTTGATTCATACGTGGATACATCGTTGTCTGTGCTTCGGTCTTGCTCATCAGCGGAGACATTGCCACAGGCTCCTCACAGAGACTATAATCTTGGCCCGCTCACCTCCAGAGATTGCAATCAGTAACATGCTGTGGCACCATTAACGAGTGACTGCTGTGTAAAGATTTGCTGTCAGTATCATTGAACTAGAACTTGTGATACAGTAGCTTAAGGAATCTGATATTAGCTTCTTGGTTGTGTTGCCATGACATAACTGGGAACTTAAATCGTGGCTGCAGTTAATAATATTGCATATTACTAACACAGTCCACAGCTACTGGCTGCCACATATACACAAATACAAATATGTTTATGCCTCTGCAGCCTGAAGTGTGGAAGTGGAAGTTACAATGGATAATACTGAGCAATGAGAGAAATGAGTTGCTCTCATCAGTGCAGAAATTAGTTATCAGCATTTGCCTGAATCCATCATGCAGAAATGCCTTTTTTTGTGGGTCTTAAACTTTGTGTCAAACATGCACTAGCACTTACTACTAGTGTTAGTGTAGATACTACTGTATATGTTTTGTACAGAAATCAGAGATTGCCTCTCCTCGTAGGTGAAAACAATCAAGCTGATTGTGACGTCGCCATTTAACATCAAGTGCCATATTGAAGGGCAGAAGCTGTGTACGTGTATAAACAATAGTGGCTAAATCATTCCGTTATCATGGATCAGTTACTGAGCGACGCCAGTTTCCATCACATTTAGTAACTAAACCTTTGAGTTCATTTATGACCTAAAACAACAGTAGTAACTTCATGAGTAGCCTCCCTTTCTTTAACAAATCCAAATGCACTTTCTCTGAGTGTTTACACCTAAAAAATAAGAAGTCATAGTGTATATAACACAATCACTGCAGCATAGTATGAACTGGTGGGCTCCAAATTTAAATAAAACAGTGATCACTGCAGTGGTCCTCTGACTGCCATGCTTTTATTTACTGATATTGGTAAATCCCAGAGATGTTAATTTAGAGATATGTGATGAAATTAAATAATATGGGTTTGGTACTTCTCTTTGTGCAGCTTTATTTACACAATGTGTGTCTGGCAAACAGGAAATGTTCTTTGTTAAGACTATCTCATGTGAGAGTAGCTACTTTAGTATCTACTAATGCATCTACATGCTAGCAGGACCAATGTTTCGCATTTTGTGCCCATCAGCATAGCAGCTGTTGGACACTATGACGTCAACAGCAGGACCTTTAATTTTTAATCTTTGGGAATATAGTTTGGATCCCTTCAACTGCATATAAGAGCATAGACAATAAGAGTTCAGACTACTTAATGTAATTTCTTGGGGGAAATAATGTTTTTTTTTTTAGTTTTTTTTTTTGGAGTCCAAAATACCTGATCATCCCTGTGGTTAGTTTCATTGTCACACACGTTTAAAGTCATTTTTTATTGATTAGGGTAGTACCACAGTACATGATATTATTGACAATACATATACAGTAAAAACAAAAACTAGCTTATTATTTATTAATCACCTCTGTCCTGAAGATATCAGGACAATGATAAAGGAAGACAATACAGTAATATAGAGATACATGTAAATTTTACCTCAAATATTTACAGTCAATCTTATACTTAAAGTTAAAACACCAGAAAACGATTTGAGGTCAGTAAGAAAGAAGATATATGTCACAGTGCAATATGTAAATCAAGAATAGGTTCAAAAATCAAAAGCTATCGGTGGAAAAACATCTGTTCCTTAATGCCCATGTGGTCTCTTAGTGAGGGATTTGTAATGTGTAAAGGCTGAGCAGGTTAAAACATTATCTTTGTAGCAAGACCTTTGTTCATCCTGCCAGTCTCAGTCTCTTTTGATATTGCTTCTGCCTTATGCGGATTTGCTCAGCAGTGCAGCACTGAGACATCTTTTTTCTTCATGCAAGATAGAGGCAGTCGCCCATGTCAGGCTGTAGTTTTACAAAATAACAACCCAGGTTTATGAGAAGGAATTTAATACTTTTCTCTTCAGGAGTAAATTGTCCGTTTATGAAGACTGTGTTCAGCCACTAGGTGTCAACATTCAGAGGTCAAAGATACTGTAGCTCAGAGGTTTGGGGTCAGGTCCAGAGGAGCCGGTGGCGTAGGAGTGGAGGCATTGGCCCAGTTCAGCGTAAAGTTGGCCCTGCTCTGAGCAGAGGGCTCCGGGGCAGGGAAAGCAAAATGGCAAGCAACACCTACAGCCAAAATAAGAACTGAAACCAAGAAGGTGAGTCCCCGACGCAATATCAGCTGAGTGACGGAGAGCAGCGCTTGAGGTTTGGTGCTTGCATTATTTTTGCTCTGCTCAGCATCCCCCTCAGCACCTCCTGCATTATTGTTGTTGCCCTCAGCCTCATAACTTGCTTTCAGCTGCAGGTCCTGGTTGTTGACTGGACTGTAGCCATCTGCTTTAGGAACCTCTTCACTCTCCAACTGGGCCTTCAGGGTGCAAAGATGCTGCTGTAAATCAGTGTGTGAGTAGCTCAAGCATGATAAAAAAAAAATAAAATAAAAAAAAATAACACAAACAAAGTAATGAAGTGAGAACAGTCTGCTAAATTAGACAGCATATACTCTCCATATGCACTCACTGTGTTAGGACAGTCAGAGACGTCAGGCACCATCGCTTCATTCAGCATTGTACTAGCCGGACGTTTTGGTATCACTACCACTTTCTTTCCAGCTCGCATTTGAGCCTGAAAACACATTATATACCTAAATTAGATAGAGATTCATGAAATACATAATATTAAACTAAAACAGGTATATTTTCATTCATGTGAAAAAAAGCGTGGATGAGATTTCAGATTTATTTACCCCTAACCACTTTTCTTTGCAAAAGCCTTAAAAGCCTTTATTAAGTTGTATTCGTTTGTGGCATGTTTGAGTGGAAGCAAAAGAAAAACAAAAGAACCATGACAGAGCAAAAATGGACTGGAAATACTGAAAAACTGAAACGAGACAAAAAGTTTGAATTATGACTAAATTCAGTTGGAATGGGGAAAGTGCATTTACTGGAGGGACTGCAGCCTATTGGCGCTCCATCACAGCAGAAAATCTGTCAGATAAGAAGTTTCATTTGATAATAAGAACCATTTACATTTCTGTCCTTGTAGTACCTTGGTTTTACAGGAAGATGAGAAGATCATACCTTGTGTGTGACTTTCTTCCAATTGAGTTTGAAGATTACAAGAAGAAAGAAGCCCGTCTCAAGGAAAACACTTATTAAGAGACCCAGCCAAAAGCCTAACGGGAGAGACACAAATGCACACACTTTAAAGAAAGATCTACAGCGTATTCACTTCATACACACTAGTAAAATAATTGGATAACAATAAAAAGTAATGATGTACATAATATGTTTTTAAAAAAGTCAAAGCTAGCAATGAGGCTGTACATAGGCACAAGAGCATTGAGCTACACGCTGACATCGGCATGCTCACAATGACATCATTAACATGCTGATATTTAGCAGGGAATATTTACCATGTTCACCATCTTAGTTTAAGGTGTTAGCATGCTGACGTGTTGCTAAGTAGCATTAAACACAAAGTACAGCTGAGGTTGATGGGGATATCATATGTTTTGTGCCTACGTAAGTGTAAGTATTGGAAGGATTAAAATTTTGACTTGATGACGACACTGAATGAAAAGCACGGGGGTCGCTAAAGTGATTACAATCGATCCTGAACGGCACATAAAAGTCTGCATTAAATTTCATGGAAATCCATATAGTACTTACTGAGATATTTGAGTCTGAGGTGGACTGAGCAACTAACTCTGATCTCATATTGCATATCTGAATGTTAAATCAGAGCCGCACTTACACTATTATTACACTCAAGTCCATAATTCAACTACTACTATTAGAAACTGGATTTATTCAATCCAATCAATCAATCCAATCAATCAAACCTATTTCCAGCTTCACAATTAGGCTGCTTGTCACAAAGTTCCTCATGGAGCAAGCACAAAGACACACACCACACAAGGTCAGAGCTTCGATGCACATTGGGTGAATGTGTGTGTGCGAGCATGCACGCACATTTATCAATACGTGAATACTTTGAGTGGACAGCAAAGAGCGCCACTCTGGCAGGGGGTAAATGACAGGCTGCAGGGAAGGAAATTAAGGAATGGCTGGTGCAGCAGGACGCAGTGGGTTTGTAGGCTTAACTAATGAACCTGGATTTAAATATAGACACACTACCTTCGGTGCTGGGCGCTGCTCATTGGACGACAGAAGAAATATGTATGTCTGTGGTGTCATACAAACAAATGGACACAACTCACAGATCACAGGCAGCTGTTGAATTTATGAGGAAAATTATGAGGTCCCACCATGCTCTTGAAGTTAACATGTGACCTTTGGTATACGTGCTTTTTCCATTAACATGAGGTCACCTCAAAGTAGCAGTCATGGTTAGATCACACATGAGATCACATGTACACAACTTGACTTTAGGCTATACAGCAGCGTGCAAGCAGAACCACGTCGCTACACACAATGATTTCAAATAAACATCACTGTATACAGTACATATTGGGCTAAAGAGTAGCATATCGTGGAGATTGTAGACTAAAATTTACTTACTCAGTAAAATTCATCATTTAAGCAAATATCGCATATCAAATAATTGTATTTCAAACAGCTGGAGTTGTAAACAGTTTCTGATCTAAAATTGTGATCCTGAGGCAAAAAAAGGTTGGTGTAAGATTACGGGAATAACAGGCTCAGTGGATTTATTTCATTTCGATGTATAGCTTGTTTGCAGAGACATTCAGAGATAGAGTGGGATGAACAGTATTACCTAATATTCTGAGCTGGGCGGCAAACATCAAAGCTATTCCCACCGGCAGACCGATGCAGTAGTAACACACCAGGTTAGACAAGGCGGCAATTTTCTGCATCCCAGATCCTACAAGAATCCCTGAGCAGACACACTGGAAACACACACACAGAGATTGAAACAAAGAAAACAGACATTTATTCAACAAAACAGGCAAACACCTCTGTGTGTGCTGTTCAACACGAAGGCTCAGTGTAAAATCAGACGAGATCATTTCATCTGCTCTGTGACAACATACCAGAAGTGCGTCAAAGAATTGTAGAAATGTGTAGACTGTGAGGTTCTCTGAGACAATCTCCACAATGTTTCTACAGACAGTTTAAGAAGATCATCAGAAACAGAGTTGCCTTTACATAGCACAGGAATGTATGTTTGTTGGTGTGAAACTCACTCATCAGAGGTAAATATGTAGCCGACAACGGACTTACAGCCAGCAATGACGATACCCTGGAACACCGCAAGCACTCCTATAGCGAAGACATTAAAGTTGCGTTGTTCTACATTTCTGTATTTTGTTAGTGCTTATGCAATCCACACATTCCCTGTACCCAGAGTTTAACACATCAGAAGTGTCTGTTATACTGTATCATTATAAATTAATACACCTGGCCGTCATATGAATTGCATTTATCATCTTTGTTTGTGTATATGTGTGTCTTCATACCTGATAGAACCAGGGCCACTTTGCAGGTGACTATGGCCCTGGCAGTGTCTCCAGCCCCCAGAGCATTGCCAACACGTACACAGGTAGCTGCATGGACGCCTAGAGGGAACTGCAAGGACCCAATATTACTTTTTTGGTATCAATTACACATTCAGTCAACATTTTAGGAAATACATTTATTCTTTTTCTTTCAAAGAATTTGAAGATGAGTCACATATGGAGCTGGAGCCCAGAGGCAGTTAGCATAGCTTAGTATAAACACTGGAAGCAGGGGGATACAGTTAGCCTGGGATTTCTACCAGCACCTCTAACATTCGCAAGTCGTTTCGTGTGTTATATCCGTACACAAACAGAAATGGAAGAACAGCAATCTGTGGTTTTAGGAGGAGCTGTGTGCTGTAAATCAGCCCAGTACTCCAGGAGTTTTAAGCTAAGTTAAACTAAATGCCCCCTGGATCTAGGTCCTTACTTAATATACAGACATTAGTGTTTTTATCTTCTTATCTAAGGTGAATAAATGCATTTCCCAAAATGCCAATCCCAATAATATGTACATAAATCATCAAGTGGACAAATGGGTGATACATACCATATATGTTATGGCTCCTACTTCCACCAACACATGCTGGGCACCAAGATCTACCTCGCCAAGCACACCTGATAGGATAAAGGTCAGATTCAGAAATTTACAAAGATTTTCCCACCATGCCTAAAGACTGCACCAAGAAACACAGTAAGGAAACTGAGGGAGAAGCATCCATATCCATACACAGAATTTGGTTTAGGCAAATGAAAATGATTTTATGGTGTCACAGTTACTGGAGATTGGGGATGCCCAGTGTTGCAGCCTCACATTTTCATTTATGCTAAAAAAGAAAGCTCTACTTCTATTACAAGTAGAAAAGAGGTATGATTTAATTGTTTTAATTATCAGTGGAGTATGTTTCTAATTGCTCTGTCAATCTTAAAGCCAGTTTTATTTGATCAGAGTATCTTTAAAGTTATCCTGATGAAGCTTATACAATCTACTGGGCTTCTCCACTGCCAGAATTTTTGAGTTGAAAGAAATTTAAGGAAAACATAAAATGTGTAACAAAAAACAAAAGAAAAATACTCTTCACACTGACCGGCAAGGAAACCTCCGATCTCCCAGATCCACCATTCAAAGTAGACCATGAATGCACTGGGAATAGCCAGCTTCATAAACAGGCCCCATTCCTGCAAACAGTCAGTGGACCAGCCTGCAGAAAGTTTCACAGACAACCATAATCAATATGGCCTATAGAGGACAACAGATTACTGTAGACAGTACTGCTTATATGCGACATTTGCCTTTTGGCCTAGTTGTGTAGAAGAATTTCTGATGTGGTCATTTAGTATTTGATATTCACATTTGTGTGTATAACTCACCTCCCCATGTCTTCTGATAGAGCTTCTTCCATCTGATGTAGCCAAACAACAGCAGGCAGATGGTGATCTGAGAGAGGCTGTTAGCAATTGCTGACCCACTGTAAACACACACGAGGGAACATCTTTGTATATCGGAGAGATGTCTGGTGACAATCTACTTTAACTGTGACTCCATCCCTCTCTCTAGGCAAAGACAGGGGGAAGGACTTCACACAGAGAAGTCAGAGCAGGTCAGCATCAAGACAGTTATTGTGGTTTGAGCACACTTGACATCTAAGGGTCTGACCCTGGAAAACTAGCAGGAATCCATGCTTGATATGGGAGAGGAGGGACAGATCTGACCCGACCACAGAGGCCTGATTGGTTAAGTCGATTGCATGTCGTATCAAATGTTTGTCCAGCTGGACTGGGATCAACTCCTGTCAGAGCTCTCCCTTCTTTCTTTACCCTATTTTGCCTTGCTCTCTAAATAAAGTACAACGACAATAAACATCAGTGTACGGCTGACTCTGTTTTAACAAAAAAACAAATCATTCTTCTCAGATAGATTAACATGCATAATGCCCCCCCCCCCACCCCCCTTTCTAGACTCCTGGCTATTCATCAGCCCCCAGCCCTCTCCTATCTGGACAACGGTGAAAAAATCAGAGGAGAGAAAGAGATGCTTCAAATGCTATAGAGGCTTATGCAGTATATCTTATTGGTCTTATTGGTCATCCTATCACGTGACACAAAGTCCATAAAAAAGAAAAGGTTAAGAGAAGCAACATGACACACTTACATGACACCCAACTCGAAGCTGATGATTAAGACGTAGTTGAACCCCAAGTTAAAAATGTTTGCCGCTGCTGCTGTGTACATCTGAGGCAGAATAATCCCCTGCAAAACAAAAAAGACAGCCACAATCGACTAATCAGTAGAGCTAATATTCAAACAGTGTGAATATGATTTGTTCAAGTTACAAACAGTTTACAAAGTAAAACTTTGTTTTTTCCCCCCCAAAGCGAATTCAGGACAAGGGCAACACAAAGCGGCTACAACCCATCACCTCATAATCAAAAATTTTATTTACAACTAATAGACCGAAACATTTTGTTTTGGCGTGGTACCCTCTCTGATGCAAACACAGTTGAGTTAGACATGACGTTATCCTTTTTCCTGCCACCATTGTCTGAATTTGTTTTGGGGAGACAAACACATTGCAATCCACTTACTGAGACAGGGCACCCACTGACACAATGCAGGAGAAGTGCTCCTGTTTCCTCTCATGAACTTACTTGGTTTTGTAGGTAGGCAACCTGCAGCTGGTGCAGAAACATGGCCTGTAGCAAGGAGAGACAAAGGGAATATTTTACACAATAGAACTGGCACACCTCTCAGATAACAGCCAGAACTCTCAAACATAACTTTGTGATGAGAGATGATGTTGTTTAGGTATTTATCTCAGTCAAAGGAAGGAGGTTAGCACAATATGATGAGCAGAGATGGATTACTTGTGTTGCTTTTGAATCACTGTGCCATTTACACAATTTAGTTTGATTATAAGCATGGGAAATGTCCAGACTCCAGGCATTTACTGTTATCTTGATGCTTCCATTTGTCTAGAAACACCTACTGCTGTTTTTATGCCCTTTACTGCAAAGATGGAATTTCTTGTGCTTTTCCACAAATGCTTTTATTTTATGCACAAGAAAAGTCATGGCGAGAATTGAATTCAAAAGGACTTTTTTTTCCTACAGTCAGTAGCGTGGCTAGCATTAGTGGAAAAAAAATAAAGATTTTTCACCATTTGTCTGCCAACATTTTGTATTTCTGCATTAATGTTGTAGTTCTGAAGAAAATTCCATGCTAGCTACCTCATATCCTTCATGCAACATCCAAAAAGTCCTTTATATTTAGGTTAATGTTGAATTTGGTTCAATGTAAATGCTCAAGAAATGCCTTTATTCCCATTGGGAGAACACAATATTTTTTCAGACAGTGCACTTACTGGAACAGCTGGTAGATATGCCATCACGTACAGTTGGGCAATTCTGAGGGAAAACAGAGAAATATTAATTTAGTTAAGCAAACACACTGGTAATAATTTACTTTCTGCTCAGACATGCACCGATTTTTGCAAGGCTATATTAAAACATTAACTTTCTGCTTTGTTGCTTTAGTTCCTCTGAATGAAATAAATAAAATGACAGGAATCTTACTATAATATTCCACGTGTAGGTAGATTCACATAATCCTGTCGGAAGCTGCATACATAATATTCACATAACACTGTATGTTTAAGTGTAGGGAAACTACACATAAATACAATTTGTGGGTCTTTACAAATACCTATACAAATGTATATACAAAGCTGAACTTAAAATACCTCTGTACACACTAACATGGAACACAATACACTGATAATATAGACATCGGTATTACTGCTTATAAGAATAACAGCCACGGCACTAAAGATAAAAGTATAGGTCTTGTTTTTTTTTCCTTAAAAGACTTAACCAACAGTTTGTCCTCAATAAAATTTGAAGACAATGTGTATGTTTCATAAACAATGGTTGTACCTTGCCACCTCATTCTCTTGGTACAAGATGAGTAGTAAGTTTTGTGCGTTGATGAGAAGGGCCCAACAGGGCAGACAGAACAGCAGCAGGATCAGTGAACTCCTCTGGAGAATCACTCCCACACGTTTCATGTTCTTTCTGCCAAATGTCTGCAAAACACAAATGAGACAAATGAGAATTTAATCTGATTACATACTGTAGGTTCAAATGCACAATAACAACCAGGTGCAGATGATGTGGTTGTCTCACCTGAGAAATCAGTGTGTCACAGGCCACAGCTAGGCCATAGCCTGTTGCAGTTGTGGTCAAATTAATGGTCTGAGGGGTGGAAGACAAAATACAAACAAATCAGAAAACAAAAACTGCAGATTAGTTATAAAAAAATGTATTTTACTCATAGTCCCTTTTTTGTTTATGTTCATAACTAATACATACTTTAATGTGATTTCTGGACACCCAGCTTCCCTACACCTCAGCTGACAAAACAGTCCACCAGGCACCATTGTTCACATACATTTATCCTGTTCGGCAGGTGCAGCATCTGCGTGAAAATCTGCTGTGCCTGATGATGATATGCTGCCATCTCATCCTGAAGCTGAATCAATGAGTAGGAAAGGACTCTGTCCGCCCATTATGTTTTCACCTACTCTGAGATGTTATGTGCTTCATTTTAATGATGGCAAATGACAGAGGTTTTTCAGGCAAAGTGTTATTTATGTTGTGCACATACAGGTTTTCTTCTTGGCTGTAAATATATTTGATATTTTCATGACTCAAAAAAGAACTTTACAGCAGTGAATGCACTGGACACACAGGGACTTTTGACTGGCTTCTTCACTCCAGTGTCAGATAGAGGGGCTGTACTCGTTCATTCTCTTGTACCCAAGAGAACTGGGGATGAGATTGATCCTAGAACTGTGCACCCTGGACAGCTGGGTGGTGCAGCCAGGTGACTGGTTTACCATGACAGATTTTAATGATTGTTTAAAGAAGACTGTTTATTTTCTGTGTGTCCTCTGAGTGCAGAACACTTTGTTTTGTACATCACATACCCCTGAGATTCACTAAACAGACTTTTAGGCTATTCATGCCTGAATCCAGAGAGTTTGCCATTTTTCACTCACTCCAATTTATCCAGCACCTAAAACCACATGAGAGTTTAAAGTCGACTGGAAGTAAAGGGCACTCCACCATGTCAGCTAGGGCTGTAATCTAGACTTACTCACTCAAATCTTGCAGCATTTGGGCATGTCTATCAGAAACCAGTCAAACCACTGTTGTGGCAATAGTTTTGACAGCGTAAGAGTGCAAATCAGAAAATGATGTGCCACTTATGCAGGCAAGCGTAGTGATAGGCACATTGTCCCGTCTGTGACAGCTTCCGGACAGTGACCAGCTGGTACATTAAAGCTTGTCTGCAGATGTTGTGCATTACTCCATCTCGGTACACTATTTGCAGCTATGAAGATGAATGGTGCCATGGACATGATAATTAGACAACTTTTGGGGTCCCATGGTGCCATAAATTACAACATCTGAGAGTCAAGTCAAGCTATGAAGGAACTTTCTTGCATTACCACATTCCTCTCATTCTCTCTCCTCCTTTCATGTCAGCTCTCTAACATCGCCTTTTATATTAAATGCCCCTGAGTATAAGTCAAAAGTGGTCCAGTTGGACACATACACAAAGAGGAAAGATTATGTAATTTTTACCCCATTGAATATGATGGCTTGTGGTGTGATAAACTCACAGCTAGCCACACAGGGTTTGTTTGTTCTGTGGAGACTGGATGGTTGGTAAGCTTCAGTGTAAGCAAAGGCTAACTCATATATGCTGTATATTGTTTTCATCACCAGTACCTTATCCAGCAGATTGTATACAACACCTCTGTAAAGAAGCACTTTGGTTGCCACCCTGTCTGTTAATCGGGTTTAATCGACAGGATGTGTGGAAATCTTTCTCCAGGCCTTCTCAGTCAGAACTAGATGGTAGACGAGGGTTGTGAGAAGCTTTAAGCTCTGTCAAGTTCTTGACATTAACACTGAATTAAATATGCACCTGTAATGTGTAAGGATTGCTACTCTCAATCCCACTGAGCATCAACATTCCAGACTGCAGCTTGTTGCAGCAAATTTCAACTCACTTTTGATTTGATTTCCAGGTCCATATACTGTGGTTTCTCCCAACACACAACATGCAAACTTAATGCTATCTGCCTAGCGCCAAATGGCAGCGAGCCAAAGTAAACGAGTGCCTGGTGAAAAGAGTTCAACATGTAGCTTGCCAAAGAGAGCCAGATAGTTTTGTACACCAAGATGGCCAGCCAAACTGGGACCGATGGTGTGTATGTGCATCAGTCATGTGACTAAATTACATTCTTGTTATGTCCTTTTGCTCAACGTCTTTCTGCTGCTAGTCTCATGTCAATCAAAAGAGACTTCAATCTCAATGGAATAACCCATTAAAAACAAAAATTTTAAATGTGTGTCAATGTTTGAGGAAAAAGAGCTTCACGGTTGTTTGTTTGCAGGACGTGTGTGAGTCAGCAAATGTTTGCCAACAAGTTAGCTAAGGATTTGTATCCTCTGTAGAGAGGTTTGGGAAAGTATTTCAATTTTATAATAACAGGTTTCATTTAGAAAAGCTTGTGCTACGTTAATTAACTTTTAAACAGTCACTTCACTTTGCTTCTCATTAGTGTTTTGACAGTCTGTACAATCCTGCGTGTATTTTTTTTTTCTTCTGTTTGCACAGTTACACAGTTACAGTTACTGCTCTTTACCATTTTAGCGGTGACATGAATATCAGAGTGTTCATCCGCAACAGACACCACGTCACACCAGTTACTGAAGACCTGGGCTCTCTCAGATGTAATACAGACACCATCACACTGTGGCAAACCACCAGGGTCAACACAACTAATAGTAAAAATGTCTACTGCCCTCCTGGCATACACAAGCACACAAAAGATACTCATTTTATTCCTACTGTTAGCAGAAGAAGGAATGGTAGTTATAGTAACAGCAGTTGTAGTAGTAATAGTACCAGAGTAGTGGGGATACTAATTATATTCATAATTATTTAGATTTATATATTTTATATTATCATTATAATTGGTCAATATGCCACAAAGGAGAATAGATAGTACCGCTGAGGCCAGTGCGTATCCAGCCAGTTCTGCATTGCCAATGTGACCACAGAATATGGTGATAACAAAAGGCAGGAGGAAGTTCAGAATCCGAGACAGCAGCTGTAGAAACAAACAGAAAGATATGACTAATTTCCAAACAGCCTCATCATTGATCAGGTGAAGCTGATGCAGCAAATAATTGTTATTAACTAAGCTCAGACAGCTTATCTGTACTCAGAGAAGTAGTTTGAAGTTAGAGAGCAGTGTTGTGAAATCACCAAGCACAAACTGGTTTGCACTAGCATGAAGTGTAGACACCGTTTTATTTCACCTTTTGCATATTGTATATACATTTCAGAACTAGTAAGGGATTGCACTGTTTGATTATATTCTGTAACAGTGTGCATTCAACAGAAACTCTGCAATAAACGAATAGTTACCGAATGTATTACAGTTGCAGCTCTTTATGAATTACATACCAATCCCCCCCCCACCAACACTTCAACTTTCCCCTACTCACCAGTGGGCCCGTGAGCCGCAAGACATGGTAGAGTTCCTCTCTGTAGGCCAGTGGTAGCCAGCGTCTCACACACGCACACCGAAACAGTTTGGAGCTGACTACTTCCACCACCTCATCTCCCTCAGCCACTGCCGTCTTGGCAACAGAAACCCCAGCAACGGGTTCTGCACCCAGCGAGGGTTGTGCAGGTTCCGCGGAACCCAGCTTCTCCATTCAAACAGTAAAAGAAGAGAGATGGGAGCGAGAAGGGAGAAAAGCTATGGGACAGGGGAGGGAGGGAGAGAGGGAGGGAGGGAGGGAAGGAGGGAGGGAGTGTGGAGAGAGAGTGCAAGGGGTAAGAGGGGCAGTCAGTCTATCTGGGTTTAGAAACATGCACTTCTTCAAAGTTATTGATTAAATTATGTGGTTTGGAAGGGGGAGATGAGAGAATGAATGCAGAAGGAAAAGAAAACAAAGGGAGGGACTGTTGTTAAAAGGGTCAAAGCAGGGCTGCTGAATGTTTCTTGATAGGGAGGAAATACACTGTGTCTACGTATTTTACTGTGTATGTGTGTGTGTGTGTGTGTGTGTGTGTGTGTGGTCTTGCACAGCTCAGTAGTAATCTGATGTGGAATGCCTATTTGCAAAGTGTACACTCGGAGTTCTGATGGCATAAATGCTGCAGGCTTTGATTAATTACTTGCCTGTTTTACAGGTACATGTTTGTGTTTGTTTGTGTGCATATGTATTAGGCGCTGATCTTATCTGCCTTGGAGTGGACTTTGAACAATGGCTTTATCCCTGGGGTCGCCTTCCTTATGTGTTTGACACATAAACAAACAGTCACATGTGCTTACTAACCTGCACTCATCTTTTTTTTTTCCCGACAGAGCTCTGTAACTTCAATATTTATTCAACTGGCATCTAGTCTTCAAGATACAGTTATTCTCAAAGTAGACAGAGCCAGGAAAGAACCAGGACGTGCACAGTTAATATGTGTCATTTAGCAGCAGCAAGGCCAAATTCACCTTCAGTCAATTTCTGTCTCAAAGTCTACATGATCAAACACAGATTGACCTTTAGTATGAGAGAAGTCATAAGCACAACAATCAGCTTACACAGTAACGATGAAGACGCTTCAAGTGTTTGTGTGTGTGTGTGTGTGTGTGTGTGTGTGTGTGCATGTATGGTGGGAAAAAAGAGATTCCTGCGTGCGTCTATCTAGTATATAGGTTACAAGCTAGTCAGTTGTGCAACATGATATAAAGAGCACATTATTCCTCTGCAATTACGCATGCTGCAATTGCTGCTAACCTTTGCTCTTTGATCTGATTGACCATGCACTTGCTTTTTTAAAGAGCAGGTATAAGAGGCTGTCAAAGATTGAATATTATTCACTGATTAAGTGAATTTTAATGCTTGTAATGCATTAAAATTCACTTCATCCAATGCAAATACGTGACCAAAGAAGAGGGGAAGTTTGAAGGAGGCATGACTAATACAACTGGCACTTTCTATGCCCAGTCAAAAGCACATAAGGGATTATTTTTGAGAGCAAGTATAAGAAGCTGTCAAAGACTGAAAGCAGGTTTAGCAGATACAGGCCTAACATTTTAAGAAGCTTAAATGTTAGCTCTTGTTGAGACAGGACAGAAGGAAATCAAAATCTGATTGAATGAAAGTATTAACAGCAACAATGATAAGAAGGTGTGATACAGTATGTCTACAAATTCAAATTCTTATCTTTATTCTAATGCAGGGTTACAAAGTGGTTGACAAAAACATCTAATGATCATTGTGTAGCCTATTAAAATCAACATTATCAACTGCAAATTAGACTATTAACAAACACTCCACCACAATGATATTATCATAAGCACATTATGGTCTGATATTAAGGTTAGTAATGCTATTGATACATTTGTGCTTAAAATAGTCACAGTGCACAAAAAACACATACAGCATATAACAAATGACTAAATAAATCTGAAATACACTGAAATTCTCAAGCATGAAGCTCATGCTTAAAATCATAAATTGTAGGACTCATTAACTAAATGTATTGAGGAGACATTTTTAAGTTGGACACACACACACACACACACACACCCCAATGATGGGTTCACTCTATAAACTAATCTAAAATTGTGGAATCCGTGTGAAGCAGCTCACCTGTTCGCTGTGCAGAAAAGCATTTAGGTGAATAAGGCCATGTAGGATCACAATGTCATGTCGAAATTCAAATACTTTATGAAGATACCACTGCTGTGCCATATGAGTAAAGTGCGCAGAGCCCTTCTCTCAGTTTGGAGTTGACATGTATTGATCCTGCTGTAGTGTGATGGTGACAGCTATTTAATAAATTCCAAGACGAGCATGCATTTGTTTGGTCAGCGTGAGCAGTGTCTGGCAGTTTTTCAAGCCCAAAGTGTGAGAGGTAACAGCGCTTTGATCTGACAGGTGAAATTTGGATGTCAGGGGGTGGAACACAGCTCCTGTGGGCTAGGGCCCAATTTTACCTCCTGTTCTCACTGCTCTTATAGCGTCGTTTTCGGCTGCTGTTGTAAGCGAAAAAGCAGTGTGACTCCATATCCCATTTATGCTTTAAATGTTTTTCCTTGTCATATGAAATCCATAAAATTGTACCTAAAATACACATTTAACTTTTTTGTCATATCCCAAACCCATGAGGTTTTCACTCAGTCCTGTGACCCTAACACTCCCCTCTAAAAATGTGGAACATTCCACAGGTCACATGTTCAACAGGAAACTGCATCTTCAGAAGGCAATGGGAAGAGGAAGACCAAAAGTAAGTTTTCTCACTTTCTTTTCTATGTATTTGATGATATGTAACTGTGACTGAAAAGGTCAATCTCAAAATACTGTCCTGTTATTGAAATGATTTCGTAGAAGTTATTTGTTCATCTTGTTATGCTGATGTTATTAGCATGGTCGCCATTTGGCTACATTTCATGTGTTTGCTAACTCTATGCTAAAACTCAGTCCTGTTACTTTCATGCGCTCATAAAGAATAATAGGACTGAGTAACAGTAACAGACATGAGTAGCAGTTAATTGATTTATTACCAGAAGTGGACCAAAGCATAAACCTGATGGATAATAGTTAGGGCGTGTAACATACATGTGAATAATGATAGACAAGCAGTATGTACCCGACCCGATTCTGACTCCAGCGAACCGTCACTATATTTGAGTTACTGCAGGGAACATACTGCCCGCGTTGCATGAGCGTTGCTGCTGACGTCGCTGACGTCGTTAACTGCTGCTATGGCACCATGGTGGTCTTACAATACATCCAAAGATCCTTTTATATATATGTATATATATTTATATATATGTCTCCTCTACTGTCTCTGATACATCCATGTGTGGAACACGGATGGGTCCAAAACCTCTATTGTGATGTCCGCGGTAAGACGGCTAATTAGTACGACACAAGACGACGGAAAATACCGCCAATTACGTCTAAAGCATAGAGTGTATATAAACTGGTATTAAGACAGAAAATGCCGTGTTAACACGCCACTTTTAAACGTCTTAAGACGTTTACAACATCAATATTTCTATTATATTGGTTGGCTCAACATATCTACCCTTTTTGACGGAGGGGCTACATTAGGGATATGTATGCCTTGTTGTGGTCACGTAAACTCTTGAGAATGGGGACGTTTGGGCTACGTACGTATCGTGTCATATGGTCTTATACAGCTGTGAATCAGTATTTGGGACAGTCCATTTGTGTGGAGGGGGAGCAAGAATTTGTTAAAACTCCTGACTAAATCACTGAAAATTGTGAAAGACAAGCTTGGACAATTCAACATCGTGAGCGGGAATTTGAGCGGGTTTAAGTGACATTTATTTAAGTTCAAGTATCCGTTTGTTTAAAGTATGTTAGTTGTTCAGGTGTGCTCCTCTCTGCTCCCTGCTCCACTACAGCTCCGCCCCCTTACCTGCTCGCTCTCTACGGCCACTACAGGTTCTCATTCCTGCTCAGAAGGTGAACAACAGACCATATGTATGTTTTTCATTCAACAGGAAAACACTCTCGCCACTAATCAGAAAGGATTTTAAACAGTTTACACATGAATCAAAGGCTTACTCAACCCAAATTCTTTCTTTCCTCCCCCTCTGCTCAAAATTCAACAGGTTGCCATTTTGTGCTCTAATACTGCCATTCAGTGGGCACTTAGACAAACACACCACATCAAATGAATGTCAATTATGATTTTGAACTTAAATTTTTCAAGTACTAGCCTATGAAATGCAGATATAAATAATGTCAATATTATGTATATGACATTATTTTTATTAATAATGTCAGTATTCCTAACCTCAATTCATAGGTTGAATGGGGAATTGTTTCTTCTCTTGAAATGATAAGGCCTGTGTAGGGTTTCCCCTCAGAAATTGATGAAGTGGTAGCACCCAAATTCAAACGCCTTAAGACGTTCAAATTTATGTTAATAAGTTTATTATTCACCATAAGTACCTTGAATGAGTAACTGGTTGCTATGTAACGTAAGCCGTTCTCCAGACACAATTACCATACACCTCAGGGTATTTCGTGACGATGATCTATCTTCCGATAGTCTGAAATGACTATGAATGTATTGATTACACCTGATATAGTGATTTACTGTAAATGCCATCACTGGTATAAAACAGTATATGCCGCTGGCTCTACAGTTTAATGCCGGTAGAAAACAGATGACCCCAGTAATCTTGTTGATTGTGTCACTCCAATGTTCATCTTGTTTTCCTAAACCTTACCTAAGTTCCCAGGGTACAGGCCATAAAGACCTTCACTCTGTATACAATGGTTTACTTTTTGGACACCCTTATGACTGATAGTGGACAGAAACACTTCTCGCCTCCATTGCTAGGGTAACTAAGGGGCTTATAGATGAGGAAAGCATAAGCATCAGAATTTCCCCAAATCTAATTATTGTCAAGGGTGACAAGAACGAGACACATGTAATATTAAGTGGGTAAGAACATGACAATTGCGGACTTTGGTGTCCAATAGCATCTTCACACATGAATGTTTAGGATAAAGTTTAACCTTATATGGAGTAAGGTGAATGAATGTTGCAGCCATGTGATACCTGGGATTATATACCCATGGCCATACAAGAAACCTTCAGAAATTGGTTTGGCACTACTATGGTTTACTTGCTGTCATTGTACTGCTCATCACTTTCTCTGCAGCATGTTAGCTTTAAATCAGTACTTCTGCCTGAGACATCTGAACTCCTGGTCATCGTACTTTTTTCAGCTCACAAGAATTTCAATCACACTGTCTTCTAACTACCCATCATTTGGCCACCGCGAAGTTCACATTGAGCTATTCAAAAATGCAGTGGTAGGTTTTTCTCCTGTGACGAACAAAGCGTATGGTCTATGCACTTTTGAAAATAAAAAAATGGATTTTGCCTACTTCAAGCTCTGCTTCAAAGTAACGAATAGGCCTACTTTATAGGAATGTTGTGGAGTCAAAAGTACAATATTTGTGTATGTGTGTATAAGTGTAGTGGAGTAAAAGTCTCCAAAGTTGACAAAAAAAAATTATGTACAGCTTGAAAAATGTACTTAAGTACAGTTCTCAAGTAAATGTACTTTGTTACTATCCATCCCTGTTTATTAGTGTGAATATTATGCCAATATTATGCTACTCACCAGATTTTTAAGTTTTACAGTTGACATTACTGAAATTGTTGACATTTAAGATCAGTTTTACAATGTGATTATTATACTTACAGGGAGCCAATCCACCACTAAGTGCTGCAGAAAAGCAGCGGCGCTATCGCGCTCGACGTGATGCTGACCCATGGAAGAGGGAGAAATATTTAGAGACGCAACGTGATAGATACAGGAAGGACCTAGAGTCAGGCAGGAAGAAAACCATTGATGGCCTCAGTGAGAGAAAAAAGCACAAGTGCCGCAGAAAATGGAGGGAGACTTACCATAGGATCAAGAACAGGAAAGAAGCCGCGGAGCTGTTTGCTATCTTGGAAAAGACAGGAACAACAATTGAGTTGTTTAATGTCAAGGAGGAAGCAGTAGAGAAAGTAGTTTTAGAGCTGCCCAATGATGTGCCACCAGTTCCGTCCACCTTGAGGATGCATGATGACGACTGCATGTTGAGACAAAATGTGAACTGTGAGTGTTTTGATGCGAAGTGTTGCACAGTCAGTCATCAACAGACGACTCCCACAGCCACAGAGGTTCAGTGGCAAAGTCCTGATGCTGTTGGCAAATGGTGTGTTCTGAAGTACGACGGTCACCTGTACCCCGGCATCATCATAGACACAAGTTCAACACATGTTGAAGTCCGTTGTATGGAGAGGATTGGGGTCAACAGGTTTTTATGGCCAGCCTGCGAACATATCCTTTGGTGCCTGTTTGAGGACGTTGTGTGTACCATCCCACCCCCAAGGCAAGACACAGGTCGCCACATGGAGATTGAGAAAGAAGTCTGGGCCAAACTAGAGAAGGCTTCTTAGAAAAAGTAAGGCAAGTTTGTTTTCATGAATTTATTGCAATTTTAGCTAAAACACTATCAGATGTAGAGTTGTCCTAAAGTTGATTTTAGGACTAGTTCTCAAAGCACAGATCTGAGGACTTGTGTAATCTTCAGCTTTTTATCTTTGCTGTCCTTGTTACCTTTTGTAGAATATGGAGAGGACCCATACCGTGCAGGAGCCAGAAACACCCACCCATGGCATGCTGCAGGGAAGAAGCGGGACACCCCTCCATCCTCTCTATCTGTCTCCCCCTTCCTCTCTTGCTCCCGCTCTTTCTCTCTCCACCTTTCTTTGCTGTAAAGAAGTACAAGCACATAGCACATCCCTTCAACACAGACAACCCACACACAATGTGCAGACTTACATAAACACAAAAAAAAAAATACACAGATACACTAAAAAATACACGCATATACACTCTTAGGCACGAACTCACATACAGACACATATTCCTGTTACCCAGTGTTCTGTTTTTTTTGTTTTATTTAGATAAAGCACTATCTTTTAAATCATGTTTGGTCCATCATTTATCCAATTGTGAAATAAATTACATGATAAAAAAATGAATAATTTAAGGTTTGGCTCAGACTAGGCTGATTGAATATTCTAAATTGACCATAGGTGTGACTGTGAGAGTGAATGGTTGTCTGTCTCTGTGTGTTTGCCCTGCGATGGACTGGCGACCTGTCCAGGGTGTACCCTGCCTCTCGCCCGAAGGGTGCTGGGATAGGCTCCAGCCCCCCCGCGACCCTACTAGAGGATAAGCGGTAGAAAATCAATGAATGAAGGTTTGGCTCAGCATTTTCTTTGAAAAATACAACTTGTGTGCAACGATAGTGATTTTTAGTCACACATTGATTATTTGAACATAAACACTTTAGGGGAAAACAGACAAATCTGTTGATTTGCTTTTAAACATGCTTTTTAAATGACACACATTTTGGTAACAGGACTGAGGAAAAAGCAACTGTTTTCCACTTAGAAACCTCGTAATAAATGAAATAAATTTGCAATTGAGCAATATTCATTTTGAATAGTTTGAAATGTGTGTTGTTAGATTCAGTATTGAAAAACCATTTTAAAAAATGAAGTTTGATTTGGAAGGGTCACAACAAGCAAAGGGCACCCAAGTGGGAACACAATGTTTACATTTTTGCAAAACAGATCGAAAATCGGATTTTTGCTTTGTAGAATCATAATTTTTACATTAAACGATAAAATATAAGTATAAAGTGCAAATGTAAAAGCACTTGTAAAGGCTATACTGGGTCTTTAGCAGCTCTGTCATCAGCTTGCAGCAAAGCTGTGGTTTATCACCTGTTTTCACAACAATGCACATATTGCATCTCAGCTTAGTGTCAGTCATCAGACTGATTTTCAAGAATCGCACCCATATCTTTTTATTCAGGAGCACCAGAATAGCTTGACACTGTTCTCCTCTCATGTGAGAACATCAGGAAATATAGATAATGTGAATTTGATGTAAAAATAAAATGAAATAAAGATAATTTACAATATTTAAAATATTTGTATATATTTTTTTATATATACAAAGACAACTGGCAAGCAAAGAGTTACATGACTTGCTGTTGTGACTTTTATAAGTTTTAAATCTAATTGTTGGCTTCCACAGTGACTTGCTTCATCAACACATATAGGCCTATTGTGTCAAATATATTAGATTGAATTATCAACAGATTATGGGCTTTAAAACCTTTAACTATGAAAAGCATATGAAGAGAATGTATTTTAATCCTTAGGTCCACACCCAACACATTTTAGTGCCACTGTAAAGACTATAGCCAATAAAAACTTTTCCTGTGTTTATACATAAGTGCACAACAATAAAAGAGAGAGAGAGAGATGGGTGGGAAGATTGAAAGGGTATTGACAGGAACAGACAAGTGGAATGATGAGAAAGCCAGTTAGAAACACGCGAGGGAGGTTATAAAAAGTGTCCTCATCTGCATGAGAAGCCGCATATAAGAGCTACTGAAGATTCAAACAGTCCTTCACATCCTCATACTCACACACAAGGAACATCAGAAATAAAACGGACAAGAAATAGGAGGAAATAATTATTGCCAGGTAAGTACCTCTGATATAAAGCCTTTACGCGTGAGTACACAAAGGTATGAGCTATCATAAATTTTATATGTTGAAATAATGTTACAGTTTATTTTATCCATAAGAACCGAGAGAGCATTCGCACCGTGCGACTAGTAACTTCTACATAACTTGGCTGGTAGCTGTAATTCTAATGATTTCTTGTACGTAAACTGCAATCACATTATTTTTTTTTGTTATCTTCAAGTAATCAGCGCTAGCAAGTACAAACTGAAAATTACAACTGTAGTAAACAATGACTTTTCATGCTTAAATATCTCATAATATCCCAGATATCCTAAATGGGATCTGATATACACACTTAATGACTAGAACTGCAACAAAATGCCTGAGAGTGATATGCATGTAAATTATCTCTAGCTCTGTTCTACAAATATCAGATGGCAAGTTTTTCTAGTGTTTTGCCAAAAATGTCTGTTGTGACATGATTACCCTAACAGCAACTGAGAGCACTAATTCAAACTAATTTTATCACTGGAAGTGACTAAAAGTTTTTTCTGTTGAAAAGTGCTGAACTTTTGGTGAATTCAGATCTCATGAGAATTTTAAATAAGCACTGCATGAGTGATCTCTCTGAGGATCTTTCCCTTCCTTCCAGGTTCACCCAAGGAAGAGAAGATGATGTTCAGACCCTCTCTTTTCCATCTGCTCTTCTACTGTGCAACCCAGACACTAGGTAAGCATGTCTTGTTGGTCACATATCTGACCTTGGCTTAAATTATTCCAATAGGATACATTTTCTCACACCTTTAGCATAATCACTTTAGTTTTCACTGCTTCACTTAGTGATCCCTTAAAGTTTCAACTTTCCCAAGGTGTCAAGATCCAGTCTGAACCAGAGGTCAGCGGTGAGGGTGTCATACAGACAGAGCTGCAGAGGACAGTGACTCTGCTCTGCCTGCCTGACGGCGGCTCTGAGACTCAGGCTGACGAAGAGCTGGTGTGGCTGAGGAATGGCGCTGTGGTCAGTCTGAGGGAAGAAAATAAGAAGGGTCGCAGCAGCGTGTGTGTTACACCCGTCATCCATGAAGATAACGGTGCCACTTTCACCTGCCACCTGAGCAGAAATGCCACAATTAGGGCCTCAGTCACCCTGAATGTCACATGTGAGTCTCTTCAAATAAATAATAATCTCAATAACTATTAGATGGATTGCAATGAAATGTTGTACAAACATTAATGTCAAATGTCAAAATTTCATGGTAATCTGAGATATTTCAGTCTGGACCAACTGAGATACCAAATGACATTGCCATCCATAGAGCAATGCTAACATACAGTAGGTTAATGAAATGTGTGAATCTATCTGAAAAAACCAAATCATATTATCATATTTTTTTCAAATACTTCAGCAGCATCAATACTTTGTCTCTGATGTTCCTCTTCAGATCACCCACAGCTCTCTGGGTCAGAGGAGGTTGCAGTAGAAGATGAGTCAGCGCTAGTCCTGCGGTGTGATATCTGGGCCAATCCACCGGTCTCATCTGTGTCGTGGACACTAAATGGAAGCGCAGTGGATCTATTTGCAGGTGGTTTCACAGTGACCAATGACGGCTTTACAAGCCAGCTGACTGCCAGCAATGTGGAGAAAAGCGTGCATGAAGGCACGTATCAGTGCACAGCTAACTCTCCCGTCTATGGAGAACACAGCAAGCGCTTTCAAGTCACACTAACAGGTCAGTTCACACAATCAGTATGACACAATATGCTTAAGCCACATCTCAAGGTTGAATATGCTTATTTGATATTAATCAGCACATGAAATGATGAGCCACTCAGTGAATGTGAAGTAAGAAAAAGTGGGCTGATCACCTTCTTCCTCATCTGTAGAAAAGACCATGAAGTTCCCACTGATGCCCATGATAGCGGGGCTGGTGGTGGTGATCTTTACTGTACTTCTTGCTGTGGTTTCACGGTGGAGCAAAATCACAAAGGTAACATACAAAACATGCACAACATACCCACATACAGCTCAGGGACTGACCCTGAATCATTACAAACCAAACCCACTAATGCTTTATGTCTCTTTTGACAGTGCTGCAAGTAAGTTGTGTCAGTTGGTCTCTGCTTCACCAAATGAGGCCATGAAGACATCACCTCTCTCGACTGAGTGCAAGAGACTGTGATCGCCCATTTATGTAGCCCCGTTTTTAATTTTATATGATATTTAAAAAGAAAGGTTCAACATTTTGGGAAATGCATCTCTTTACTTTATTGCTGAGATTTTGAAGACAAATCCCACATCTGTCTGTGAAACGTGAAGCTACAGCACAGCGGCTGGTTAGCTTGGCTTAGCATAAAGACTGGAATCAAAGGGAAACAGCTAGCCTCGCTCTGGTCAGAGGTAACCCCTTATAAAACTAGAGTGTGTGGTTTTTAAACAAAAGTTAATGTGTTAATTAATGAGCTTTATAAGTGCTGGAAAGTGAATTTTGTTAACTCTTGAATCAGAATAGCTAGACCTATTTCTCATGTTTCCAGTGTTTGTGCTATGCTAAGAGCTGCAGGGAGTAGCTTCGTGTTTACCATACAGTCGTAGGAGTGTTAGTAATATAACTCTTGACAATAAAGCAAATAAGCATTTTTCCTAACATGTCTTTTAAAATCTACTGTCTACTGTACTAGCTGTTGCTCATTTATTTGACCATTGATTATGGCAGCAGGAGCTGTGACGTTTGCTACAAGACCTTAAGATGATCCTTAAATCTGTTATTTAATCGTGTGATGCGCTCTGACCCTGTGATGCAAAAGTGGGTTTTAAGTTTCCATCACCTCTTTTCTTGTTGATATCTTTGGAATAAAAGTGCCGCAATGTAAGCCACGAGTCCAGTTGTCTATTTGACAGTTTCGGTTTGAGGATAGAATTTGGGGGCAGTGAATTAATGTCATCAGTGGAGCTCCTATTTCCAACACATGGCAGGAATTTGCATAAAACATAGTGTTTATTACAGTTTTTACATATCATATATTGGCAGATTGGCAGGTATATTTAACACTGCCATTGTTTGATAAATGCATATAATATGTCCAGTTACCCAGGTAGCCCATTTTGCTCATTGTTGTCCACATGTTGTGTCTCTGCAGTGGTCAAGTCATAAATTATATGATTATTCAATACATTAATTTTTAACTGGCCAGAAAGACACTTATACATATAAAGTTAGATGGATTAAACTCATTTTATAAAATGAAAGAAAAGCAATAATTATTTTAAAATAATAAGAACTTTTATAATCCCTATGTTGATGCTTTTAGCCCTCCTGATGTAAAGGTAGGTGTAGGTTTCAGAGACATATCTGTCAAACAACAACAGAATAAACAGGTGTGTCTAATAAATGTTCATCCAAGAACCGACTGAGAGACGAAATCCTGGTGTCTAGTTTTCACATTTGGACTGAACTTTAACTCCTGACTCAACAGTACAATCGAGGCTTGTTAAAATCATGTTATACATTTACTCTTAATGAGACAAAAGGACAGGGACTTGCCATGTCATGAGGGGTCAAGGTCTACAGTTTTGTGTTCTTACCAATAAAGAAACACTTAACATGTTGACATAAAACAATGCAATACCAAACGAGAGCACGTTTGTCAGGAATGCACAGGTTTGATATCAGCTACAAGAGGTGATCAAATATACAATATAAAGACAAGCTTACTGTATGAGTCATGGCTTTTATTGTAAAAGAAGCTGCTGGGTTGTGCCTGGAGCTTTGAATCGCCACTCAAGAATTTACCTCTTCTGTGTCAGGCTTTTCAGTTAGCTACAAGTGTGTCCAAAATTCAGTAATTATCAATAATGTAAATGTCTAATTGATCCCTAATGGGAAATTCACAGCTACCAAACAATTGTTTGAAAAGGGTACTGAAAAGACAGATGTCACTCAACTGTAATGTGCTAATATGTAAAAATGAGGATGTGAATGATTTTTTTATTTAGGTTTATGACCACACTCAACATATGCCAAAAAAAAGAAAAAAGTCTGTCTATTTTACATTGAGACAAAAGAGGCTTTCTGATGTCTCCCCACTGACTGTGCAGACATGGAGAAACTGCCCTTCTGTATCTTCTGACTCGCCCTAAACAATAGACTGATCTTTGCTTTGTGTCACGTTGCTGTGCTGTCATGTTGGGAAGCCCATTTTGTCTAGATATATTTGTCCTAAATTGTTTTTGCAAAACACAGGTTCATCACAAATTGTTTTATGAAACAAAATAACAAGAACATGAAAAGTTAATGAAAAGTGGAAACACAGGTTTGTTAATGCCTTTATTAAATCACCTTTGACTAAAACAAAAAGATTTCAAAGCACTGGTGCCTGTAAGCATTTTACATGCTGGTCTATAGTGACATCTGCTGGACACTTCAAATCCTCTCCTATCTATGGTAATTGCACTTTTATGTCAATGTGCAAAGAGACAGAATGGAATATTAATGTGAGAAAATGACAATCTTCACTGGGTGTGACAAAGAACACATGAGTTAACAGTATTTAATGAACAGTTATCCCTGTTCTGTTGGTGTCGACAGACTGCATAATCCAACAGGACAGTCGTGTATTTATCATAGAAAGGTATTTAATCTAATCTTTAAGCATCTATTTCCACTGGGATTTAGAATCTATATTTCAAAGGAGAATAAAAGCATCAAGGTAGAAGTTAACATTGTTAATTAAACAACAAACAAAACTCTCCACATGAGCACAACCAGCAGCATCTTCGGCTTGTTTGAATCTTAGCAAAAAGAAAAAATTATAACAAACTCTTTGAACATTAAATGCATTAACACAAGCCTTTTTAATGCTTTTATAGTGAGTGCCATGATGCGATAGTAAGATATGGTTGGACAATATAGACACAATGAAATATTAACTTATTCTTGACATTATGTTAATATAATGTGGTGGCATTTGGGTATAACTAATGGTACTTTTTCACATGAAAAGTTTTTGTTTTTAAAGAAAGTGTTGTGATGCCCTAACAGGACAAAGAATTCAGACAATCCTCACATTATCTTTGTTAAATTCTGTCGTCGTTATAAATGGGACAGACAAAATATTAGAATCATTTTCTCAATATACAACAATCCAATGACACTACTAACTGGCCTCAAAACTTGCCAAGTTGATACAACATCTATCTCACGCCATGTCAATAAAAATGGAACATCATAAACCTCACAAAGATAAGCTTTATTACTGGACTGTTGCATTGGATTGCATTATAGGCTGGAGCTGAAAAACTGCAACTCACGGTACATAGCCTGTATTCTGCTCATTTGTCTGAATAGAATATTTAGTACTGTATCAAACTGTGCTTAAAGAATATATCAGAGGGGTAAGTGGTACAATGATGATGGTGAAATGTATACAGTGAATCTGCTTATTAAGAGGAATCTCAATTTTTTAACAGTCAAAAGAGCATAGAGGAACAGTTGATATGACAATATGATTAACTTTTAAGGGGTCTGAGGCTACAATTTCATGAACAATCGATATTAATTTCACATACAGTATTTCTGTAAAAATGAAATCCATAATTAAAATGAAAATAATTGGCTTGAAACAAACAACCGGTTTTCAGTGCATTGTAGATGACCATATCATCATGTCTATTTTTTTTCTCCACGTAGTGCCTTAAAATAATTCGTCTCAGCCTTGAACTGTATGTTTGTTTTTTTGTGACCATTTACATTTATGTTTCATTTGCTCAATGAAAAATATAAACACAGTTCTTTTCTGTAAATGAATCTTCCACACAGCATGTTCAGCATCAATCCAAAAAAAGTGTCACACATAAATTATACATTCATCAAATAAATTCATAACAGTGTCATATTAGTTTGTATGATGTTAAAACACACTTATCTGACCTGGTTAGGCCATTTTGGTCTTTGTTAAAGCTCCAAATTAATTTCACAGCACTTTATGGTGACGTACATGTGGAGACGTAACGTATTACGTCATTGAGGATGCTTTGCGTGAAGGGCGTGGTGATGAATGTGTGTTGTGTGTGCGTTCCGCGGTCCACCGCCAAATTCAAACAGAGAAAGAAAGAAGCAGAAGCAACAGGCAACTGAAGTACACAGGACACACGACTCTCACAGCTTTCAGGTAACCTAGCGGCACAGGAGACGGTTTTAAGCTGTTTTTCTTTTTGTTTGTTCTCTTAAATCAGGTATTTAACGAATATTTATTTTAGCTTTAACGTTACCTAGCTAGCGCTGTTACTGCTGATGAGCTAACGGTGTCTTCTCGGGCACAACAGCTCTTTTTGTCAATGAGTGATAATCACAGGCCTTTTATTGATAATGAAAAAAAAAAATCATCAACGTTACCATTTGTGGCCTAAGTGTTAACGTTAAATCACTGTTATTTTTCTCCTCTGGTAGTGTTTTGGATTAAGTTAGAAAGGGCAGGGCAGTCTTCCATGCAAGAGATCCTTACCAAACAAAAGCCTCAGACTTTTACTAACACAATTCACTGCTCCTTGATTATATGGATTGTTAAGGGTCATTTGCTCCTTCATTTTTCATTGTATTTCTTCAGTAACTGAATGCTGTGGAGTAAATTCTTAAGATAAGATAAACTTACATTACTATAATTGTAAAGAGATTGTTTTGCTTGTTTGTCTCTATCGTAATACATGGATATTTCTTTCTTATTTACTTCTATGCTACTTAGTGTGACGTGTTGCATAACTTACTTTCTTCAAGTGTTATACACTTTCACAAACTTAAATAACTAGAAAGAAACATCATGGGCAAAAGTTTACTTTTTTACAGCTGCAACTAACAATAATTGTCATCACTGATGATCTATAGTTTCATAAATGCTGGAAATTAATTTTTTTCTTATCATGATTTCCAAATGACTGAATTATTGTAATTGCTCTAACTACTAAGTAAACTGAGAAATCGATGTATTGTTTCAGCACTATTTTTATTTTCCTAAAATCTTTATAAACCACTTGAAATATAATTATTGTAAAACATATTCTGCTGTTTTGTTATCTTATTTCAGTCTAGTCAGCATGGCATCTTCAATGATGGATGGAGTTGGGAAAGCTGTGGTGGGAGTCTGGCGGGCACACACAGTCCTGGATGAGTCTGACGGGGCAGAGAGCTCCCCTGAAGCCCCAGACCGTTTCCGCAAGCTCCGCTCCTCGTCTTCACTTAACTCTCTGCGAATGTCTTTGCGCAAGCGGCTCCCTCTACGTTCTGTCCAGACAAACTCCCTCCCTGAAAATCCGACTTGGGAAACCCTGAAGGAGCAACCAAAACCCAGCACAGTCCGCAAACTTACTCGCAGTGCTCGGAACTCCATCAGTGGAGTGTGCCAGGTAGATTGATTGGCATGGTTTTAAGTTGGCTGGATTTGGAGGTGCTGGTCAATGCCAAAGAGATTTTGTGTGTGAAAATTCCTGGAAGTGAAGTGTTTATCTTTCTTTAAATTTTTGATGCTATATGGATCAACACCAACAACAGCTATTAGTCATTTGTCCTCATCTCTTAATCATCTTTTCTTCTTCTTTCTCTTTCACCCAGAGGCTGCAGAGGACCAGGGAGTTTTCACGTGAGGAGTGTTTGGTAGCCACCCCAGGACGGACATGTGATGGGGAAGACGCTGGTGCATCAACTTCTCATACCCCAAGACGTACACCTGGTCGAGCTGCAACACCGAGACGCACCCCCAGATCAGCAGCCAAACCCGGGCATACTCCAGGCTCTAGAGGAAGAAGGACTCCTGAGGCTGGTGTACGGGGGGTGAAAACAGGAGGAGGCAGGAGACAGCTGGTCCGCATGGCTGCATTACGAAGTCCCTTTGCCTCACCCAACACACAGAATCAGAGGATGTGAGTCTTTTATTGTTTACCAGCTGCAACTTGCATTCATTCATTATACAGATTCAGATTTTATTCCTTGTTTGTTGGTTTCATTTCTGATTGTTTTGAGTGTTTTCCCCTACTGTAACAGAAAGTTTGACCGAGATTTGGAGTCTGTGTCCAGTGGACTGAAGAGACTCAAATATCTGTCCAAGGCCTTTGATGACATAATTGGCAGAGACGACAGGTAAATCATCTTTATTTTGAGTTAAATGTGTTTATAACAAGGCATGTGGTCAATTGAAATATCACTGTTCTTTAATTTTACTAATAATCATAAGTGTTTGTATTAGTTTTTGCAGTTGTAGGTAATACATGGTAGGTTAAAGGCAGTTTAAATACTACAGCTATTTCTGTATGTATGTGTTGTCCGTATTTGAGGAAGCCAGTTGTCCATTTCCTCTTATTCGCACATATTCTGCATAAAGGAGATAGCAGAATCACACGGCCTCCCTCTGCTTCCTCACCCTCCCATCCAAAGAATCCCTGTCCACAGCACAGCTTGTAGGTCCCCAGACCTCCTTCCCCTCCCCCCACCCACATTCTTCCCGCTTCAGTTTGAAACTGGGTCTGTGTTTCTGGTATTCGGACGAAGAGGGAGTGAGGGGAGGGGAGGGGAACAGCAGGAGGAGAGGGAATGGGTGTGGGAACTTGAGCCAGATGAAATGACAAAAATGTGCTTGAGAGAGCCTGGAGTATACTTGCATCACTTCCTGTGTTGACTTTCAAAATGTTAGAGCATCCAGAAAGGAATAGATACATTGTGAAAAGCGGAAAGGCTCATGGACAGTGACCATGTCTGTTTATCAGTGTGAATTATGTGCAGCCAAACGCTTTCCTTGCTGTATGTACAGGTCGTCTTGTGGGAATTTAAACACAAGTTTGTTTTCCTCCTACAACAGGCAGTTCGACTATTCCCTTATTGTGGAGTAGGGAAGAAGGTAAATTCAAACATATGCTACTAAAACCAGATGAGTTATGAAAAAATATGCTCTGAGTATAACTGATTTTGTGACATGAAAGCGCATGGCAGAGTTAGCCTGGTGCCTGTATTTCGATGCATGAGCTGTGTATAAAATTGTTATAGCTTCTGACCTGTTGCAGTGAAAAGCTGCTCTTTTGTGGCTGATGAATAACTCGCGTTAAGTAAAGGATTCTCATCTTCTCTATCAGACTCGCACTTCCTTCCTTTACTACTCTTTGCTTTACATATCGGCTCGTTCTCTGTCGCCTTATCAGTTCTTAAATACTTTCTGCTACTTACCAGTATGTCTGCAAGTCTTGGAATAGCCTTAAGAAATTGATATTATGTTATCCAAAGTCAAGGCCATATATAGACTTTGATACTGATAAATGTCACATTGTTTCAGAAATTTGGAAACTTGTTTCTAGGTGCAAGAAATATTGTGCCCTCATACATTAACATTTGCTTTAATCTTGTCATTTTTAAAGATGATCATATCAATCAGAAAAAAATAATTTGTATGGCAACTTGTCATACACAAAATTCAGCTCAAATTCTTTAATAAATTATTTATAACTTTTACATATAACAAGAGGAGAGAAGTGCACTGATGAATGATTACTTTTATCCTATTTTCCATTTGTCATTGGTAATCAAGCAGTTTTAAAAACCAGTCTCCATTACTCTCTGTGCATGCTTTCTGCAGTAACCGTTGTTCTCCCTCTTTGTAGACCCAGTACAGGGGGTCGTTCTGGAGGAGCAATGATGAGAAAGTTGGATCCCAGCGGTAAACTGAGTCGCTCAAACCTCACACGTCGAGCCACAAACTTCTCGAACACAATTGGAGGTTGGGCCCACGCAGCTGTGAACACTATTAGCAAACCCAACTGAACTACATGCATGTGTGTATGTAAAACACAGGACCTTAGCTATGTTTCACATTTATCATTATTGAGGTATTTACATGTAGTATTGTCATGATATTGGGAAACTGTTACGTGGCAGCTTGTTTTTTCTACCTATGCTGTGTGTAATTAGCAGCAGTATGTATATCATGTTTACTTGTCTCAGGTTAGCTAGTTGTGGGTAAAATATCCTCATTGTAGCTATCAAAGGGATTTCTGTATTGCGTATGTACCTGTCATAGCTGCTACAACCAAATGTATTAGTTACATTTTCAAAATACTAATATTGTCGTTTGTATTCATTCTCTCTGCGTAGAAACTTTCTGCTAGTGTCTGAACTCTACTTTAAAAGAAATGCTGCATGAGACCAAAATTGTATCTGCAGAACTAACACTAAATTTACTGACAGGGGGAGATGCATTTTCCTCTACTTTATTTGTATGCAATGATGTCACTAACATTTGTTATGCCTTTTTTAAATGTCATTTGATTATGCCATATTGTAAAGTGTATTTTCTATGAAAGGGGATTTTTTTTTTTAAATATAGTATTTGAATGGGATTTGATAGGTCAGCACTTTTGATGGCCTGTGGATGTTTCATGCACCAATACTGTATACATAAATCATCTGATAATGTGATGGGAAAGATGTAATGGCTCATTACCTGATGATGCTATAAAGCCATATCCACCAGGTTATTCGTGTAGTGAATGTCAAGCAAACAGCCTCAAATGAAGCAAAATGTCTCTCTTCTGCCAAAGCGAGATATTGTGTCCAAATGTGAAAAAAAAAACTCCACACAATAAAATGTATAAGCTTCATCAATCCAAAAGTCTTTATTTTTATGATTGCAACACAAGTAATCTGGGCTGTTTGTGACACAAAATAAGAACTTCCTATCCACATAATTGCTGGTGTCACTCTTACTAAAATCTCTACATGATGAAATAGGCATTAGTCTTGTTTTACTTTTTAAAAGCACATTAATAGTTTATAAAATATACTGCATCATTATAGATTACACTGCCTACTCCTAATGTCCCAGTCATGGCTGGACTAATCTCTTTGGAGGCCCTGGGGCAATAAATTGTAGGTTCGTCTATGTCTGCCACTATATAACTTTTATTATTTTCTCTCTGGCACCCAGAAACCAAACAGTGCTCTAGAGCTGAAATGAGTAGTTGATTAATTGATTGCTCAATTGACAGAAAATTAATTGTCAATATTTCTTACCTTTTTATTATCTCAATAAAGGTACATCTTATTTTAATTTAGACAATTAAAAAGTTATTTTTGCAGAAATGCCAAAAATCAACTGATACCAGCTTCTTAGCTGTGAATATTTGCTAGTTTCTCAGTTTTCTATGATATTGAACTAAAATATCATGTTTTTCCACTGTCTTCTGACATTTTATAGACTAAATAATTCAGTTCTTAGAGAAAATAATTGTGAGTTTGGAAAAGAAAATAGTCACTGGTTGCACCCTCACAGTTCTCCTGTGAAGGAACAATACTGCTTTGCCTGTGGTTTTCTGTGTGTTTGTGTTTCTTCACATAGACAAAATGAACCAATTTCATAAAACACCACTTTACAACAAATGACCATTAACTAAAATAATTAATGTTTCAAACTAGATTTTGATCAACACAGGTTGACAAAACCAGGGCCACAGGATTAAATGAAGGACCTGACACAGTTGACATATTGTGCTTCAGTGGTGCAATTTTCTAACAAATCTGCAACTAAACCAGTTATGTGGACCCAAAAGATATGGAGTGAACCTGGGTCCCTGGGCAGTTTGCCCACTGCCAAATTGGTAATCCAGCCTTAGTCTCAACAATCATCCAGTGATTTAATATATAATCTAACTGAATAATGGGAATATTACTGCATTGATTTGTATGTAAATGACCGGGATATCTATAGAAGATGGGATACGACCCATTAGAACAACAGTGCGCCCCAGTGGTGTGTCATGGTCACTGCAGGCGAAACGCGAGTCGCTCAGTTTGTCCTTTGTTGTTACCTGTCATCAGCCCCACGCCTCGCTCAAGTCGCCCCTCCTCAGTCTCTCCGGCTTTGTACCCAGAGCTGAACCCACGCCGCGGCTACCTTGTCCAGGATCGCGGGGCTGCTAAATATCGGAAAATGGCCCTTCACGTACCCAAAGCTCCGGGCTTTGCCCAAATGTTGAAGGATGGTGCCAAGGTGAGGATAAATCAGCGTGTTGGACTAGTTGGTCAGCTTTGTGTGAATTATTCTGAGCTAGCATGCTAGCTAGCGTTAGCCCCTGAGTTAGCACGTTCATTCGCAATCATGTGGGGAGAGTTCTAGAAAGCAGGCAGGCCGCTCGGAGATGCTGGACCCGAAGATGTTAGCATGAACTGAAGGCAGCCTTCTGCGTCTGCAACAGTCCCCTCAAGCACTTTAACATGTTGAATATGTAAAGCAGTGAAAAGTGACTGTCAAGACAGCAGTCACACCCAGTTAGCGTTTAGCAGACTGTCAGAAATGAGGCTTTGATTGTCACCTCAGCTCATAGATGATGCTTCCTGTTTTGGGTCATCTTAGGCTTCAACACATCTTACATTTGCCCCTGCAGATTGCTTGCCTAGCTTATTATCCACACATATTCATAAGTTATTAAGCAGAATACCAATAACTTTTTCTCAGACTTGGACACTATGGAAATGTAATGTGAGATATTATTTTGTTGTATGATGCAGCACTATTCTGGGCTTGAGGAGGCAGTCTTTCGTAACATCAGAGCCTGTAAGGAGCTTTCTCAGACCACACGCACCGCTTATGGTCCAAACGGTAAGCACCCTCCTCCAGCGATATGAAATAGATTTGTATGAAGTCTTTGTGTTTTGACCTGATAAAACTTATTTTGGATCAACGGCAAAATCAGTGATGGCTAAACTGAAACATTGTCTTACAGGTATGAACAAAATGGTCATCAACCACTTGGAGAAACTGTTTGTCACCAATGATGCTGCAACAATTCTCAGAGAGCTTGAGGTAAAAGAAACTAACACTTTTGTGCCACATACTGCATACTGGAATGATTTATACATGAGGTAATTAAAATTTTTTTCTTGAATGTCTTTTGTTTTATAGGTGCAGCATCCAGCAGCCAAAATGATTGTGATGGCATCCCACATGCAAGAGCAGGAGGTCGGAGACGGTACAAACTTTGTCCTGGTGTTTGCCGGAGCTCTGCTGGAGCTGGCCGAAGAGCTGCTCAGGATGGGCCTGTCCGTGTCAGAGGTAAATAGATGTAGTCACTGGTCATCTTCATTCCCTTTGTGCTGTGTAGATTATGTGATGATATAACGGCAAAGACTTGAGTGTTGGTAGTAAATATTAGGATTCACTCATGCTTTTGTGGCTGGTAGCAATCTGCCTAAATGTAAATGTATCTTTGCACAGGTGATTGAAGGCTATGAGATGGCATGTAGGAAGACTCTGGAGATCCTGCCAGACTGCGTATGTTCCTCAGCCAAGAACCTCCATGATGTTAAAGAGGCTACATCTCTGATCCGTACAGCAGTCATGAGTAAACAGTATGGCAATGAAGATTTCCTTGCCAGCCTCATTGCACAGGCCTGTGGTGAGTCAGCAATTCAGACTACCTAAACCAAACTGGGACTGTCGGCTCTCAAAGATAATTGTCACTTGACAAAAGTCACGTGATGACAGTATTAACTTTGTATTTCTTTGACTTTCTTTTTTTTACTGGTTTGTGCTTCAGTCTCCATCTTGCCAGAGTCCGGCAATTTCAATGTTGATAGCGTCAGAGTATGCAAGATTTTGGTAAGCAGCCTCATCCATTGAATATATTTTGTCTTTGTGTGTGTGTGTGTGTTGTTTTCCTCTAAATTAACGTCTCTGGTGTTTTTCAGGGTTGTGGGGTGACGGCATCCTCCATGCTACATGGCATGGTTTTTAAGAAGGAGGCAGAGGGTGACATCACATCTGTTAAAGATGCAAAGATCGCAATCTTCTCCTGCCCCTTTGACTGCATGGTGACAGAGACCAAGGTAATGAATACTGTAATGATTAGGTCTCTTTGATTCTTTATAGAAATCTTACCAACAACAATTAAAAATTAATGGGGTTTTTTTTGGCTTTAACTCACTGTATTTTACTATCCATTTTGGTCAGTTTCACATTTGGGCTAAAATGTTGGCCACATGATCTGAACCTGTTAAACCTCCCCAAAGAGTGGAGACATGAGTGGTATTTTTTCATAAACTTGATTGCGAAATATTATTAAAACATCATACAACCAAGAACGGGTTTGAGCTACTTTTCAGGGTTTAGACAAAAAAGAGAAGAAAATATGAATTTGGGCTGTTGTGAAATTGCTAATGGTACTCACAGTGGACTTCTCTGTTGCATAGGGCACAGTGCTGATAAACAATGCACAGGAGCTCATGGACTTCAGCAAGGGAGAGGAGGATATGATGGAGGCCCAGGTGAAGGCCATCAAGGAGACTGGTGCCAATGTGGTGGTTACTGGGGGGAAAGTGGCTGACATGGCGCTACACTACGCCAACAAGTACAAGCTCATGGTGGTGAGGTAAGACCAAGAGGACCTCCGATAATCCCAGTCAGTGTAAATTACCGAGTCATCAGAGCTAGGGGGTCTGAAGAGTTTTCTCATTAAACATTACACATTTCATCAAAATGTCTTCTACCAAAAGCACATAGTTTGAATTAAATGTTCAGGAGAGGGATGCCAGTGGTGTTGGCAGTGTTGTTGGAAAGTGACCTAAATGTGCACCTCCACCCTATGTTACCTGACTAACCTGACCTGAGATTTCAGTATGCAAAATACTCGAAAGTCTTCTTTGGGCTAATGCTGCAAAATGTATTATTTCTTGAATGACATAGTATAACTTTATTTGATATTTACACTTTTCATCTGAAGCATGATTCAAGTCTTTACTTGTCTGCCCTTGTTATAAATCGCATTCTGGGACTGTTATCAAATATTGTCATTATCATGACATCAGACATATTTTTTGCATCAATCTGTAATTTTATGATTACTGAAAAAAAAATCCACATAATTAATGACTGTATTATTATTGTAGTGGTATTGTAAAGTCTTTTATCACAGAGTACTTCTGAGCCTTAAATTCTCCATTTTCCCCACCAGGCTTAACTCCAAGTGGGACCTCAGGAGGTTATGTAAGACTGTAGGAGCTGTAGCACTGCCCAGGATGGTGAGTCTAGTTATTTTTCATTCAGGTCCGATCTTTGAACCATAATGAAACTGACCATTATATCATGTATAATTACGCTTTTGTGCTTTCTTAGACGGCTCCAACTCCTGAGGAGATGGGTCACTGTGACAGTGTGTACCTGACAGAGGTGGGGGACACTCAGGTGGTGGTCTTCAAACATGGTAAATGACTCTTTGCTCCAGTCTTGTGAGCCTTCATTATAAACCTTTTTTTTTTTTTCTTTTTTTTTTTGCTCCATATATTTTTTATGCTTAACATGTTGTTTGGTCTTGATTGTTTCAAACAGAGAAAGAGGACTGTGCGATCTCAACGGTGGTGGTCAGAGGTTCCACTGACAACCTGTTGGATGACATTGAGAGGGCTGTAGATGATGGAGTCAACACCTTCAAGGTTCTGGTCAGGGTAAGTCAGCGCAATCAACCACTGTAGTATCTCTCTGATAACTCTGGTAATAAGTTGTAAATATTAAAGTTGTTTGCAGAAAAGATAAATGTGCTACATTGATATGTGTCTTTCATTCTCTCAAGGAATATTTGGA